TTGGCCTCTGGTGCGGTGCCCCCAGGAGGGGAGGGAGGTGGGGTGGGTCTGTCCCACGCCCTGCCCCCCTGTCACTGCAGGGTCCCGGCCCCGGGGCGGCGCTGGCCTCGGAGGGCGGGCGACGGGCGGGCGGCGGGCAAGACGCTACCTGCGCGCGTGCCGGGCATTCCAGCCGCCGCCGCGCCACCGCGCCCGGGCGCGCCATGGGCCTGATGCCGGCCGTGCAAGCCTTCTCCCGGTGCCGCGCCTGCCTGCGGCCGCCCTGCCGCCTACCCTCCTGCTGCTTGCCTGCCACCCCAGGTAGGGGCGGGTCGGGGTGCCAGCGCCCCCCTGTAGGGGGGAGGACAGCAGCGTCTCTGGTGGGAAGTGGGGGAAAGTGGAGGGCTCGGGAATGCTGGCCCTGGTCTCACAGGGAATTATGGGGGGCGTTGTGCGTGCCGGATGGAGCAGGCTGAGGTCCGCCACTCCCTCCTTCGACTTGCTGAGAGGGTCCTCCTACAAGCACGAACCCCCCATGTGGGGGAAAGAGGAAACTTGCAGAGTTGCAGGGACTTTCTTCCCACCTCCACTCCGGGGGCAGGAGGAGGTTATGTTAGCGGGTGGTATGTGCAGGCGGGGGTGCCGGGGACAGCGCAGGACTCCCCCAGGAAGAAATCAGCCTCTCTTGGAGGCACAGGTGGGTTTTGAGTTTGCAGCCCAGGAGGCACAGCCAACCACCGTGAGGTCTCTTCACTGACAGCCCCGGTGGAATGGGGGCAGGAAGCCTGCAGTGACCGAAGCCCCCTCCTCTCTGCAGAGTTCCAGGATTCCAGGATTGCTCCCCATTCTCCACAGCCCCCCTGCTGACCCTGGCCAGAGTGTAGCAGCCAGTGCTAGTCAGAGAGGCTCCAAGTGGGAACCCCGCCTCCTCCCTCTCCTGCTGGGCAGCCGGCTCACCCAGCTCTCCCCTAGGCCAGCCTGCGGAAGCCAGGTCCCTGTGGCGCCTGGCTGGGATGCACGCCTGTGTGAGTGAGGGCAGACAGGGCAAGGGCCCGTGTGCCCCAAGTCACGCAGAACATGAGCCAGAACACTACCCAGCCCGGGATTCCCTGGAGAGGAGGCGTGGGAGCCAGCAGCTGTCAGGGGAGGCCTGCCCAGCCCTGGCAGGTTCACCAGTAAGGCAAGCAGGGCAGGTGGGAGAACCTGCCTGGTCTCCTGGGGGTGGCCAAGCCGGTGCCGTGCAAACAGCGTTGGGTGCTGGCCGGCCGGCTGGCTGGCAGGCTGGCTGACTGGCTGGCTGGCTGGGTTTCCCTCCTGGAACGGGTTCTTGGCAAAGCTTCCCCTTGAGACGTGCCAGGAGGGATGAGGGAGTTGAGCACGCAGGGCCAGGCCCTGCCAGGCTGTGCTGGAGAGAGCGAGCCTGGCAAAGGCAGAGGGTGGGTGGCGCCCTGGGCAAGGAGGCCTGGGCGGTTAGGGGGCTGGGAGCAGGGGCCACCCCTGGAGCCAGGGCAAGCCTCCTCATCTCTGTGGCCTTTGAACCTCACTGCCCCGCTTGCCTGTGTCTGGCCCCCTCCCCCATGCAGAGGAGATGCTGAGGGGTGCCGGCCCAGGCAGTAGTGCTCACGTGGCGCCAGCCGGCCTTGCCAGGGCTCCTCACTCCTACCCCTCCAGGCATCGTTCCTGGCTGTGTCCCCTCCCCTACCTCCTCTTCCAAGTCCCTTCTGTTGGGAAGGACCAAGGGCCCTGGCTTGCTCATCCCTGTGTTGGGGGTTGGAGTTGGAGGAACTGCCTTGGACCTGGGGCCGTGTGGACAAGTGCACTTGGCCTGGGGTCTACACCCCAGGGGCTGCTGGAAGAGGCCAGGATGGAGCAGGGGGCGGGAGGGAGGGCGGTAAAAAGAGCCTTGCCCACCTCCCAGGCTTAGATTCTGTCTGAAGCACAAGGACAGGAAGCAGAGGGTTCCCAGGCAAGACCTACAGGAGGGGACTTAGTGCACCATTTCCATCCAATGGTCACTCCCCACATGGCCACGCCAGACTGAGGTCAGGAACCCGGGAATCCCATCCAGGTCTCGCAGGTGGGTGGCAGGGTCCGTTTTTGCATTAGCTGGATTGAAAATGGAACTGGCACAACAGTCACAGGCAGTGGCTTAACATGCTATGCCACAGTGATTTGATTTCCGCCCAAAAAATATTTATCTCAAAGCCAGACTGACAAAAGTTGTGCATCCATGGGTTCACTTCCCAGATGCTCACATCATCTGAGGCGGGGCCAAGCTGAAGGCAGAAACACTGTCCAGAGCCCTCACAGGGGTTGCAGGGCCCCCAGTACCTAAGCCATTCTCTTGCTGCCTTCCCCCCAGTGCATTGGCGGGGAGTCGGGTTAGAAGTGTGTGGGGTCACTGGCCCTTGAACTGGGCACTCGGGATGGGATATGAGCATGCCCAGTGGTGGCTCCACTGGCTGAGCACAGCGTCCACACCAATCAATCCACATGAGCTATCCAAGCACATGGGGGCACGTGTGGCCAGATGTCAGGCGTAACAGAGCCCTGAGTGGAGTGGGAGCAAGCAGGGTCTCCAACTCAGGTCACTCCTGGACCCGCAGGAAGGGTCACGCCTGGGGTGCCTTGGTCTGGCTTTCCTCTGGCTGCCCCGGCAGACAGCAGGCTGTTTTTCCTGGGGAGAAGGGGGCGGGGCAGCATTGAGCCCTGGGTCCATGGGTACCTGGGTCCCTCACCATGGTCAGTGTCACAGCTCCTGCTATGCTGGGAGGGGGAGAGAGAGGCACTGCTGGTGAGAAAATCCAAGGAGGTGGGCGGGGGAGGCCTCCTATAGGTGGCCCAGAATACTCCTGGAACCCGTCTACCTGGGGCTGAGCCTGACCCTGCGTCGTGCTGGGTTGGACTCAGCCATCGGTCTTTATACCCCACCCCCCGACACCCGCTGCATCTTAGTTTGCTGTCCTGCAAAGTCAAGATGATGGTGATGGTGGTCCCTAAATTATCCAGCTGTGTAGGGGTTACCTGTTGTGGCTGCAGTTTCCTGGCCTCCTGCCCACAAGGCTCCCTTCATGCACACATGTGTACACATGTGATCATACACATGTGTACATTGGTGGCATCCACCAGGCACACACACCATGGGCGGGTTTTCTAGAAGGGAGGAGCCTTCCTCTCCTGGGTGTATCCACTTGTGTTCAGGCACGGCAGGGTAGCACAAGGAGTGGCATTCACAGAGTCCTGCCATGTGTTGGGCTCCGTGTTAGGGACCCGGACATGGGCTCTCGGGACAGTATGGAACTGGGGTTGGGGTTGGGGGCTGTGCCTCCTAGCCCTCCCCTGGCTGCTGTGCCATCCCATGCGTGGATGGAATGGAGTTGGGTATTATGCCTCTGGCACAGCCACACAGCTGTGCTGCCAGGGAGGGCTGTGGCTGGTAGATTTGAATAGAGCCAGGGGCCTGGAGCTCGGGGTTGGGAGGAATCCGTTTCCGTCATTAGCCTGCCATGGGATGCAGTGTCTGTGAGTTGAAACCACTTTCCCTCTTTGCCTGGGTTGCCAGGAACCTCATAGCCCGGTGGTGTATTTCATTGGCATCAGTGTGCTTAGTCAGAAGTTCCTCTGTCTTCTCTCACATCTATTTTAACCCACAGGGAATGCTGGGATTTCCCCCCTCCTGATTTTTTTACTCCTTGCCCGTTAGTCTGGGTGAGTGGTACTATACTATAGGTACACTTACTATAAACCACCAAAGTCAAGTAAGCAGGCTGGGGAGGATGCCAAGGCTGGAAGCAGCACTGCCAGCATTAGAGGGCCCTTCAGCGGTGCCATGGCAGCCATGACCCTGGCTCATGGCACCTGCCGGTTCCCTAACTCCAATGTGGTGCCACAGCAGCCGTGTCCCCGGCCCACGGTGCCTGCTGGTCCCCCAGCTCCAACACAGGTGGAGTCGTGCCTTGTGCCCTCTGGATCTGCTGCCTTTTGCTTCCCATGATGTCCTGTCATTTTTCAATTGTTAGAATGTCTTCTTACATTAAACATCACAGCCAACTGTAAGGCGTATAGTCCAGTCATGGGCCGCATCAGCCACAGAGAAAGATGACATCCGGTTATTTTGGTGGTGTAGAAAAATAGAAAATGCATTTATAATTTTTTTTAAAAAAAATGTGTTCTATTTATCTGAAAGCCAGAGTTAGAAGGAGGTCTTCCATCTGCTGGTGCAGTCACCAAATGGCCTCAATGGTCAGGGCTGGCTTGGGCTGCAGCCAAGACCCGGAACTCTATGTGGGTCCTAGCATGGGTGCAGGGGTCCTAGCATGTGGGCCATTACTTGCTGATGAAGCTGGATCAGAAGTGGAGCAGCTGGGACTCCAGCAGTTATTGTATTGATATAGGATACTGGTATTGCAGGAGGAGGCTTGATCCACTGCGCCACAACTCTGGCCGTGTGTGTGTGTGTGTGTGTGTGTGTGTGTGTGTGTGCGTGCGTGCGCGCGTGCGTGCGTGCGTGTGTGCATTGAGCAGGCTCTGCATCCCTCACTCCTGTCGTGAGGCTCCCAAGGTCTCCTGTGCTCACCAGCCCTGCTGTGTCTCTCTGCTTGGCACTAGCCGTTCTGGCGAGGGGTGAGGTTGCATCTGACTGTGGCTGACGCTGTGGCCTAGGTCTGTGCCCCACACTTGTAGAGCCCTGTGATTTGTCCTGGGAGCTGTGCAATCTGTGGTAGGGGCAGACGGCTACAGTCTGCCTGCTCAGCCCACTGTTAGTGGCCAGCGGGCAGTTTCCTGTTTGCAGTGGGAAAACAATGGACAAAATGCAAAACATGCATGCTGCCCGAGGGCTTGGGCCAGTTCCCTGGGTCAGCTCAGGCCAGCAGCTCCCTCCTGCTCCCTGTCCCCAAGGACCCAGAGAGCTGCCTTCTGTCCTGACCATACCTGCTGCTACCCCTGGTCCCTAGCGCCCTCCACCCGGCCCTGAGCTCGGGAGGCCGTGGGCGTGCCTGGCAGCCCCTTTTTGTGCCCAGGGATCTTCGGACAACGCCTGGAGGACACGGTCCACCACGAGCGCAAGTATGGCCCCCGCCTGGCGCCCTTGCTGGTGGAGCAATGCGTGGACTTCATCCGGGAGCGCGGGCTCTCAGAAGAGGGCCTCTTCCGCATGCCAGGCCAGGCCAACCTGGTGCGGGACCTGCAGGACTCCTTTGACTGTGGCCAGAAGCCGCTCTTTGATAGGTGAGTACCTGGGGAGGTGCGGGTGGAGGTGACAGCGCCTGGTGGGCAGGTGCGGCAGGTCCGACCCGGCAGGCCTGGGTCTCGTCCCAGGATGGATGCTTGTCCTTTACGTTCACTTGAGCCCCTTTCCATAGGGGCCTTGATCCTGGCTCCTGCAAAAGGAAGAGAGGCTGAGAAGCTGCTGCTGGCCGCTGCGCCCCAGGAGCCCCACCCGGGCTGTGTCCAGCATTCCTGACCTTCCTTCTGCCCCTCCCACAGGCTCTGCCCCACCTCCTCTCAGGGGCTCCTTCCTGAACCACTATCAGGCCTTACCTGTCTGCCCTGCACACCTGTCTACCTCCGTGCTGTGTTCTCTGATTCTGCAGCTGTCATGGGGGGGGGGGGGCAGTCCCAGGCTCTCTCCCATCCCTACGCACCAGCTCACACACGGGCCAGTCTGGAGACTTCCGCTTGGCACCCTCCTGGCCTGCCAGATGCTGAGGAGGCCAAGCACAAAGCCCCCTCTTCACCTCCCTCCTCTTCCCCTTAGGTTCCACCCAGCCAGCCCCAGGTCCTAGGCTGCACCCTTATAACAAGCCACCCAACCAGAGCCCTCCACCCCCTTCACTCCCTGACATTCCAGCCCACTCCTTGCACCAGGCTGCCCTTAGCCCCGTGCCCTTGTGGCTGGGGTGTGTGCAAGGATCTCACGGCTAGACCCTCAGGCTCCCCTTCACCCAGCGCCCACCCTTTGCAGAGGGAGCACTACGGGGTGGAGGTAGGGAGTGGCGACAGTGCTAAGGCACTGTGAAGGTATTCTGGGAGCCAGTCCTGGGCCCTGGCCGAAAGGAGGGATCCCAGCGGGACACAAGGGATGGCAGGGCCCCCCCGGCACGGGAGCACCTGCCAGCAAGAGCTCGCTGCAGTTGTGGGAAGGCCCAGAGCAAGGTGTCACCCTGGCTCCCAGGAAGACCTTGAGGCAGGTGGTTCCAGCTGGGGGCCAAGGGCAGGAGGGCAGAGTTTGAGGATGTGTGTGGGGTGGGGCGGGTATAGCAAATAGACTCTAGCACAAAGAGGGGGTGAGGGATGGGCAGCAGGGGCTGGGCTGGCCTGTGAGCGCAGAGATGGTGAGGCTGGCGCAGGTGGAGGGCTTGCAGTTCTTGACTGAGTTAAGAAGAGGTGCCTAGTGGAAGCCGTCAGCAGCCTCCACAGTGACCAGGGAAGGAGGACTGGCTGGGCATGGCTGAGCTGCACAGCTGCAGCTGGCAGGGGGAGAGGTTACCATACCTGACGCTACAGTACCTCCCCCACCCCTGCAGCAAGGAGGGGCCCTGAGAGCCGACCTCTCTCCATACTCCTGGCTCTGCAGAGGCCCAGCACATCTGGGGGCCCTGCGTGCCCACTGCTGTCACCCACATAGCTGGTGTCATCGAAGCCTGGGTGCACCCGGCCTGGGTCAGACATCCAGAAGGATTGTGCATGTGCAAGGTGTCAGCAGTGAAGGAGACCCCGAGGAGGGCAGTCCCAGCACCCCCAGGCCTGAGGAGGCTGTGAGGGGCTTCAGGGAGCCAGGGTGAGATTCAGCCAGGCTGGGTCCGTAGTGGTCCAGCTACAGTGTCCTGGCCTCACTTTTTGTGCGTCTCCCGAGACGGAAGTACAGTTCCAAGACTTAAATGTTACATATTTGATAAACTAAGAGGGACCAGCCTGTGGCACCATGGCCTAGGCCGCCCACAATACTGGCTTTCTACACTGGAGCACTGGTTTCCATACTACAGTTCCAGCTGCTCCACTTCCCATCCGGTCCCCTGCTGATACGCTTGGGGCCATGGAAGAGGGCCCGAGCGCTTAAGCCATCGTCCCACTCATTTGGGAGCCCAAGATGGAGTTCCTTGCTTTGGTCTGGCCCGGCCCTGGCCATTACAGCTATGTGGGGAGTGAACCAGTGGATGGAGGTCTCTGTTTCTTCCTCTTCTAACACGCTGCCTTTCAGATCAGTAAATCTTGAAATGCAAAGAACCACAGAGAAGGAGGACTCTCACCCCCATCTCCAAAATGGCAGTAGTCAAGGCTGGGCTGGGCTGCAACGGGGACCTCAGTCCAGGTCTCCCGCATGAATAGCAGGAACCCAATTACTTGAGTCAGCACTGGTGCCCACGAGCAGAAAGCTGCACTGGACTTGAGTGGGGCATAGGAGCGTCGGCAGCAGCGCCTTAACCACGAGGCCACATGCCAGCCTTGGGTCCAGGCTCTAGATCCACAGTCCGTGAGGAGCAGGCGATTTCCTGAGGCTTGGGATGCAAGTACAGGGCGCATGTGCAGGACCCAGGGAGACAGAGAGAGCAGGAGCCAGACCACTGCCCTCCACGGCCAGTCCGAGTCAGCTGGTGGGAAGCTGGGCGCTGAGGCGTGGGAACGGACGTGCAGGAAGCTGGCGAGGAGGTGATGAACAGACGATTCTGAGGATGGAGAGGAACCCAGCAAAGGGCAGGGGTGTGCTGGTCGCTGCTGGAGCTCACATGGCCCCTCCCCACCCGACCCCCAAGCACCATGGATGTACACATGGTGGGCTGCCTGTAGGAGCTCACACCCCCCCCCCGCCCCTGTCCCCCCAGCACCACGGACGTGCACACGGTGGCCTCCCTGCTGAAGCTCTACCTCCGGGAGCTCCCTGAACCCGTGGTCCCCTTCGCCAGGTACGAGGACTTCCTCAGCTGCGCCCAGCTGCTCACCAAGGATGAGGGGGAGGTTAGTGGCTCGGGGGCCCAGCCTGGGAGGGGGCTGGCCGGGTAGAAGGCACGTTAAGTCAGGCCACACACTCCTTGTTTTCCTGATGTTTGTAGCATGAGGCTCTTGACCTGAAGCCTGTGTGTGTGTGTGTGTGTGTGTGTGTGTGTGTGTGTGTGTGTAAATGAGGGTGGGGGAAGGGAGGAAGGAGACAGAGTGTCCCATGCTAGGGGGGACAAGGGGTCTGGGGCATGCTGTCCTGGGTGGGTGCTGGAGCACCCTCCTTCCCCCCACCCTGTGTAGGAGGGATTCTATCCAGCCATAGCATGCAGCTGTTTTTTGTAAATATCCCCCATGCGTTGTCCAGGCCTCAGTCTCTGGGCAGAGCATGTCCTGTCTCAAGCAGGTCACATCTGAACCCATTGTTGCAGTATAGCGGGTTATGCTGCAGCCAGGAGACGTAGATGGCGCTCTCGGCTTCTGCCTGATTCAGCCCTGGCCATCGCAGTCATTTAGGGAGTAAATTCGTGGATGGAAGAGTCCCTCTTGTTCCCCCTCCTGCCTCCTCCCTCCCTCTGCTTCTCCAACACATGAGATAAAGATAAATCTAAAAAACAAAACCCCAAAACACCCAGGAGCAGGTGGCAGGCAGCAGCTGTCGGGGGCCGCCTCCCTGTGGGTGGTCCTGGTCCACGGCTGTCTCCTGTGTGGAGCAATCAGCCCATTCTCGGCTGCCCTGAGACTCAGGATCAAGGAAACCTTTTCTGCATTTCAGCCCTGCCTTCTTCCCGAAAGAATTCCAGACAGACAGCTCCCAGGACAGTGGGAGCAGAGGCAGGGGGCCTGGTATCCCCTCCTCCCGGAGTCCTGCAGGTGCTGGGGCCCTGCAGGGCCGTGTAGGAGACCAAGGGTGTTATCTGGCAAATATTTGTGCCGTGATAAGTGAGTTGAGCCAGGGACATTCCTCCGTGGCCCCGCAGATGTTCAGCCCTCATCCCAGCCCCTGGAGGCCACCTCCTCCTAGCAGGAAGCTCGAGGGGGGCTCTCTCTCCCCAAAACCCCATTTTACCAGTTGCTGGGGTTTGAAATCCTAACTTATCCTTCTCCCCAAGGGGACTCTGGAGCTGGCTAAACAAGTGAACAACCTTCCTCAGGCCAATTACAACCTGCTCAGATACATCTGCAGGTAAGCGCCCTGCAGGGGGATGGAGGGGGTGGGGCTTCCTACCCTGCACAGGCCACGCCCTCATACGCCTCCCCTCTGGCTTGGAGCTGGCAGTCCTGTAGGAGCTGGCCCTGCGGGATCACCCCAGAAGGGACACACCTCTGTCTCTCCAGGGACCTTTGCTGCCCCGTCTCCCCTTAGCCACGACCATCCCAGGCCTCAGGATCTGGGCCGGCCTCTGCATCCTTTTCCTTCCCTGGTGGCCTTGGCTTCTCTGATGGCCACTTTGTGTCCCCTCCAGGAGAAGCTCTGCTTTCACCAGGCAGGGCTGCATGGAAACCCTAGGGTGGCGGGGCGGGTGTGGGAGCTGCACTGCCCATGCTCCCCTGCTTCTCTGCAGGTTTCTGGATGAAGTGCAGGCCCACTCTGACGTCAACAAGATGAGTGTTCAGAACCTGGCGACTGTCTTTGGACCCAACATCCTGCGGCCACGGGTGGAGGACCCAGTGACCATCATGGAAGGTAAGAGTGGGCTCGCTGGGCCCAGGCCAGGCCCTGTTGCCGCAAGGGGCTTGGCAGGTGCCTCTAAGCCCTCCCCTGCCCCAGGGGGCAGCTCTAGGAGGCCCAGGAACTTTTCCCCAGGGCTGGTGACACCCCGCAGGTCTCTGGGGGACAGTTAGAAGGGCCAGCGGTGTCTGCCCAGGAGAGGTGGGGCCGAACCCTGCTCTCGGACTCATATAGTGTCTTTCCTGGACTTTGACAATTAAGTGATTTTCTAGGGTCCTGGGTGTCAGACCCGGGGGAATTTCTGTGCTAGATTGCAGAGTATGACCCACCCAGCAGTAACAGCTGCAGATTCCTCTACTCCAGGGGTTGTACCACCAGCCTCACTCCCAGCCTGCGCCCCACAAGCGTGCAGCAGCAAGGCCAGGGGTCCTATGCACATAGGTGTGGGTGCTGGCACAGGGAGGCAGTCAGTAAAGCTCTGAGCCAGGAAACCCAGGGCCCAGGCTCACACGATCTCAAACCGAGGGCTACCATGGGCGAGGGCTACCTGGGCAAACCGAGGGCTACCATGGCGAGGTCTCTGCCTCACAGGACATGGGGCATGACCGTGACAGAGGCGGGTGGTCCTGCTCTGCTTCTGCCACAGCCACAGTATGCCTCCCGGTGCTTTGGCTCTCTGCCTTTTTGCCAGCTTCCCCTCTCCCTAAGAGAACCAAGTCCCCACCTGTCTGTCTACTCAAAGGCCCCAGGGCACAGGTAGGCCCAGCCTGCTTTGCTGACCTCCGGCTTCTTTGCCTAGGCTTTTTGGCCTGAGAAAGACACGTCTTTCCAGGACTCCCAGTTGCCTCGCGTGGGAGGGGAGGGAAGGGCCTGGCCCACTCGGGCATTCCACCTGCCTTTTCCGACCCTGATCTGTGGCTGTGGCTTCCAAAAGGCAGCAAGGACACCGGGTAGATACCAGGGTGCCCCCTACACTGCCCACCGCTGCTGCTGGCCCCTCCCAGCCCCACAGGAGCCAGGGCCCCAAGGTTTGGAGACTGTCTTGGGGGGGAGACCCTGGCTCTAGGTTCTGTGTGTGCCTGCCTGTGGCCCTGACCCACAATCCCTGTGCCCTGCAGAGTGGGCAGGGGGTGATGTGGGCCAGGTAAGAAAGCTTTGGTTTCTGGCTCCAGACTGCCACCTGCTCACCCTGCTTGCACAGGGCCCACTTCCCTTTGCTGAGCCTGGCCAGCCGACTCAGCGGGTGTGGCACGGGCTTCTGGCTTTGCAGGCTCCATGCCTGGGCTTGGTGGCTGGGTTGGGTGGGTAAAGGCCAAAGGCTGCCACCACCCTACCCCCCTCCTCCCTGGCACTTTGGTGGCTCTCCCCATGATGCCTGCCCCTCTCTCTGGCAGGCACGTCCCTGGTCCAGCACCTGATGACTGTCCTCATCCGCAAGCACAGCCAGCTGTTTGCCGCCAAGGCCCCGGCAGGGCCCGCGTCGCCACGTGGAGGCTCGCAGTGCACGGTGGGGTGGGACTCCGAGGAGGCCCCGAGGGACAGCCATGGGGAGCCCGGCGGCCCAAGCCCGCCAGCACACAGGACCTCCTCGCTGGATGGGCCTGCAGCCGCAGCCCTCTCTAGAACATCCGTGGCAGGCCGGGGGCAGACTCTGCCCAGTTGGAAGGCTTCCTTCCGGCAGGGGGGTTCCCCGGAGGTGCCCATCATCTCCTCGGGCGGGAACTGGCTCCGGAACGGGCTGTCCTCTCTGCGCAGCCACCGCCGTGCCTCTTCGGGAGACCGGCTCAAGGACACAGGCTCTGCGCAGAGACTGTCCACCTATGACAACGTGCCTGCGCCCTCCGGCCTCCAGCCCGGCACTGCCAGCTTGGCCAGCACTAATTGGTCCACCGCCTCAACCTCCCGTGAGGCCTCGCTCAGCAGCTGCACAGCCTGCAGGGCCAGCGACTCATCCACCTGCAGCTCCTTGCACACTGAGTGGGCCGTCGAGCCCTCCTCGCTGCCTAGCAGCAGTGATGAGCGCGGGTCCCTGGACTTGGGTCAGGTGGGCATGGGCAGGGTCCCTAGCAGTGAGCTGAGTGATGCAGGCAGCCCCTCCTCCCAGGAGCACGCCCGCCGCTGCCAGGCTCTCCAGGATCTGGTGTCGGAGCTCCGGGCGGAGCTGTGCCGGCAGAAGACAGAGTATGAGACCAGCCTGCAAAGGTAATGGAAGGGCCTGGTCTAATTGTGCTGCAAGCTGGAGTGTGGCCCTGCTGCTGGGAAAGCTCCATGAGCTGGCAGGTGCCAGCCCAGCAGCCAGGTGCCTCTTGGGATGCCTACAGCCCCTGTCAGTGCAAGTCCCTGCTTGTCACTGGTTCCTGCAGGTGCACACGTGAGGACGCAGCAGAGCGTGATGCAAGTCCTGGGGTCCGTGCCACGCAGAGAGCGCCCCTGCCTCCTTGTTCCAGCCTGGCACAGCCCTAGCCCTTGGGAGCATGGGAGGAGTGCGCCGGCACCAGGGAGGTCGCTAGCTCTGTTTCACATGGCATTCTGGGCGTGTTGTGTGAACTCCCACCCACTGGCTGAGCTCACATGTCCCCAGCGAGCCAGTGCCCAGCAGGCCAGGACTGGCCACCCAGGCCACGGCCACACAAGGCTGTGCCACTCCATTCATGGCCACACAAGGCTGTGTCACTCCACTCACATAAGTTTTTTCCTTTCTTTCTCTCTCTCTCTCTTTCTAAGAGTTTATTTTGGTGCAAAGAATTCTTGAGATCCATGCGCAGTTTTGTTAAATCACATATTTTCACGGCCTGGTTGAGGACCACACGCATGCATCGCCGAATGTCTTTGTACCAGAATCCTCTTTCACTTGTTTTCTTCTTGAAGTGCCCTCGAATGTGGATTTCAGTCAGCAGGGAGCTAGGTCCCAGGCTCTGCCCCAACACACAGTCCTGTGGCCCTGCACTGGGCCCGCACATGAGGGGCTGAGATTTCCAACCAAGGCCGCAGGCCGTGGCTTGCACTATGGAAGACCCAGGCATCTCGGCCCCATCAGCTGGCTGAGCTGGGACCCCAGGCCCCACCCACTCACAGGGCCTTCGCTGGGCTTTTGGGGCTTCTGTTACCCGTCTGAAGGCACAGTGGCAGAAGGCATCCCTCCTCCTGCCCCCTAGTGCCAGAGTCTGGGGTTTCCACAGGTGCCAGGAATGCACAGGTGCCCTGTGTGGGTATGCTGAGATTGGAGAGGGACTGGGAGGGCAGATGTACCTGTCATGAGCTCGGTCACAGCAGGTGTTCTCTGAGCCAGGACTTTTGAAGAGTCCTCAAAACCTTCAGAAAATACGGGGTGAAAAAGCAAAGCACAGATTTCCTGTTGTACTGAATACGTCTCTTTCAATTCCATTTTCCATAATCTCTTGGAAGTGCCCACCTCAGATTGAGCTGGGCAGAGAATGTAGACCCCAGGCATACACTGGTGGGACAGACCCCCGGAGAACGCCCGGGCCAGAGGTGGTTGTGCAGATTCCCTACAGAGATGTGGGGGAATGTGGTGGCTGCTACAGATGCACTCGCAAACAAAACACACGGGGAATAGGAAAACCCTGGCTGGGGAGCTGACCCTCCCATTACCCACCTCCCTGGAGGCTGCCCAGGGGAGAAGCGGCCTCCAGTGGCCAAGGCCTCGACGTCCCCCCAACACACTCTCCAACCACACATGAACTCACCTAGTGGGTGAGAGTTCACTTGACATATCCAGAATGCTCAGGCGCCTTGGGTGCTCGTGGGAGCTGTGGCGCCAGAGGAGATGGATGGCAGCTGCCGTTCTGGTAGTGACCTCACCGGCAGGCTGGCAACAGGTGGCCCAGCTCCCCTGTCCCCTGGTTGGAGCTGAGGAGGAGGTCGGGGTTAGCCCCATCCCATGCAGGTTGGGTTAGCTTCTGCTCTGTACATCTGGAGCCCTGGTGAGGCCAGCAGGTACAATGGGACCTGCTCCCCGCTCTGCCTCCTCTGTGTCCTGCCAGGGAGTCGCCTTTGGGTTCCCAAAAGAATACCTGTAGGCCTGGTCGAGGTCCAGATGACAGACATTACCGTGGGTCCCCATGCCTCTGGACTGGGTGCCATGTGCCTCCTGGTCCATGGTGACCGATTTCAGAAGAGGCTGCCTGGACTCGGTGCAGTCTGGGTCTGGCGTCCTGGGGCTCGCATTCTGCCACGCTGGGCCCTCAATGCCCATGTGTGGGGTCCCCTGAGATGGAAGGAGCTGGTGGTCTTGGCATCTGGCCTGGCAGACAGATGGATGTGTCAGCCTTTCCACAGTGGATACTTCCGTGGAGCATGTGCTATTGGGCAAGGGGCACAGGTAGGAGCTGCACTGTGGGCCCCAGGAAGTGTCACCAAGGGGGAGCATCTGAGCTGGGCTGTGTGGGTTTCTGGGTGGAATGGCCAGCGACTGGAGCCACTGAGCCAGGTTCCCCTGCACTGTGCTGCCTGCAGGATCCCCTGTTATTTGGCAGGACCATGTTCTCAAGTTGGGGTGCCAGAGAGGGGCTCCAGCAGGCACCCCATGTGATAGCTGCTGCCCAGAGATTCTGCAGGGCCAACCTGGAGAAGCTAGCAAACCACATATGACAGTGTGTCACCTTGACCTTTCAGGATTGAAGAAGGCAGCGCTGACTTGAGGAAGCAGATGTCGCGCCTGGAGGAGGAGCTGGACCAGGAGAAGAAAAGGTATAGCATGTTAGAGATCAAGCTGAGGAACTCGGAGCGGGCCCGCGAGGATGCCGAGCGGCGCAACCAGCTGCTGCAGCACGAGATGGAGGAGTTCTTCTCTACCCTGGGCAGCCTGACCGTGGCCGCCCCTGGCACCCACGCCCCAAAGCAGCAGGAGGGACAGTGAGCGCACATCCACAGCTCGGAAGCCGCCTGTCGGCAGCCCTACCCACTCCGAGCTGGCTGCAGGGAGCCAAAGTCGTGGTCCACCCCCTACATTCCATGCAGGACTTGGGGACTGGGGGCTTATCCGAGGCAGGGCCTACTACATGTCAAGAGGGGGGCTGTGCCACAAGTACTGTTTGGTCCCTCCCCCAGGGGTGGCACGCAGAAAGCAGGTAGCCACCAGCAAGTTTCTTTTATTAAATTTGCTCTGAAGGGAAAGCATGATGTCATGTGATTTATCCATTGTCAAAATTCACTGAAAGCCAGGGAGACACAGCTTCCACTGGTCCAGTCCCTGAATTTTGCACACTACTGAGCGAGGACCCTAACCACCTAGGGCTCCCAAGGAGGTGGCTGGGGTCCAAGTACTTGGGCTGCCTTCCTGCCTCCCAGGGTACACACGACCAAGGAGCCAGTATTAGAACCAAGCTGCCCGCCTGTGCCAGTGACTCAACCCTCTGTTTTTAGTCCATGTGTAGGGCTCCCCCTGCAGGTTAATTTCATAAGTGGGATATAAGAATGTTGGCGTGGGTGGCATTGCAGCTGGATTCACACAGGTCCTTTTTTGGCTCAAGGCCACTCCCCCTCCTCCAGCTCCCTGAGTCTCCGCAGGAGAGCTGGGCCAGGGTGACAGGATGCACTCCTTTTGGGCCCCGGGTGCAAGTGAGCAAAGGCTGACCCTGTCCCGTCCACTGTTACCTGCTAATCTCCAGGTTCCTCCCAGCATCCCGCTTGACTACACACACACAGAGCATGGTGCCAGGCCAGAGTCCTGTGGCTGTGCGTTATAGGGAGATGGGGGGCTGGCCTCCGGGCACAACAATGTCACTGCCACTGTCCTCCTGCTCAGTCCTTGCCCCTGTGAGCCCAGCCAGCAACTCCATGGCGGTGCCCAGGTCCTCAGCAACGCCACCTGCCTCTGCTGCTCCCTGCCACAGTCAGGACACTGGATGCCACCCTCCCTCTCAAGGATATAATAAAGACTGAGAGACACTTCTGCTAGTCATCAGTTCCACCCGCTCTCACCACGTAGGGCGACAAGTTTCGAGAGGGTGGGTGGGAGATCCGCATCTGTGCCGAGAAAATGCCACCGGCTGCCAAGGGGGGCAAAGAGCACAGGGGGGCTTTGTGCGATGACGAGGAAGTGGGTCAGCTTTGTCTTAGCCTGAGGCCAGCAACGCTTCCTGCAGAGTCCTTGATGGGAAATGGCATCTCCCAAGGCATGGCCGCCCCCTGCTGGACAAACTAGGATCAGCAAATGAAAATGGACATGATTGCTAAGTTCACTTCTGTCCCCATCACTCTGGCACTGTCCATCCTCCTGACTTCTGTGACACACCCTGGACCACTGACTGGCAGGCATTCTGCCCTGCCTCAAAAAGCTCCATCTGCATCTGCTCTTCCCCAGGGAGATGTACTAAACCCGTTCTTAGACCCGTGGTCTTAAAAAGTTTATGCTGCTACGACAAAATCATGTATTAATACAACTAATTCACTATGCACATGAACAGACAAGGACTTAGTTCACCGACACAGGGACCTAGTGGCTAAGTCCTCGCCTTGAACATGCTGGGATTCCATATGAGCACCAATTCTAATTCCAGCAGCCCTGTTTCCCATCCAGCTCCCTGCTTGTTACCTGGGAAAGCAATGAAGGATGGCCCAAAGCCTTGGGACGTTGCACCCACGTGGGAGACCTAGAAGAACTCCTGGATCCTGGCTTCGGACAGGCGCAGCTCCGGCTGTTGCGGCCGCTTGGGGAGTGAATCATTAGATGGAAGATTTTCTTATCCTCTCTATATATCTGACTTTGCAATAAAAGCAAAGACTTTTTAAAAAAAAAATCCCACTTATCGGCCAGCATCGTGGGTAGAGGTGCAGTGGCAGTTAGCGTCCCTGCTGCTCCACTTTAGATCTAGCTCTCATTTTGTGGCTTGAGAAAGCAGTGGAGGATGGCCCCGTGCTTGGAATCCTGCACCTATGTGAGACACCTTGAAGAAGCTTCTAGCTCCTGGCTTTGGACTGGCTCAGGTCTGACCGCTGTGGCCATCTGGGGAGTTAACCAGAAGATGGAAGATCTGTTTTTCCCTAACTTTTTAAAGTAGAAACAAAAATTTCTTTTTTAAAAATTCAGGTAACGTCAAGGCACAAACTTTGTGTGAATTCTAAGCAGCTGACCTGCTTCTCATTTACTCCTTAGGGGTGTTGGTGATAATATTATCTTTTTCAGTTGACATGGAGGCAGAGAAATTTCCAGCTCTGGCCAGGCATAAGGTAGTGGCGGAGTTGGGGTTCCAACCCAGGCAGGTTGGTCTCCGAGCCCCGTTCCTGGCCACGAGTCCACACTAGAGAGCTGCTGGCCGGATGCTTAAGGCATGGATCGCTCAGGGAGTGCAGTGCTGTAACGTCAGTCCAGGTCAGCTGGACGGGGGGGGCAACAGCTGGATTGGGTTTTGTGATACAAACAGGCACCCTCTGAGTAAGGCAGTGACACGGGAAGGCCATGTGCAGCCAAAGGGAAGGCTGCAGGAGGGATGAGGCAGATGGGGAAGCAGAGAAGGGTGAGAAGACAGGAGCTGGGTGGCAGTAAAGGGATGAGCCCCAAAGTCAAGACATCTATGGGGCTCTGGGCCTTTGGAGTAAGACGGCCATGAAGCAGCAAGATGAGCCAGGTTCCTCCACATGCGGCCTCCTCAACAGTGCTTCCAGGCAGGCTCACCAGATCTCAACAGGAAAAGTGCTGTGAGTGTGGCTACCATGGGATGGGGAGGAAACGCTCTCTCCACACTAAGGGAGAGCTTCAAATTGGCTCTGGCCCCTGGCTGGACAGTGGGTGGCTTTTGTGGGTGTGGGGTGGGGGCAAAAGTGAATGTGAGGAGACTGGTCAGGCAGCTGTTACTGTGTCCAGGTGAAATGTGCCACTAGAGAGGAGTGGCTGGAGATGAGGGATGGAGCAGGAAGCGAGGGGCTGCAGGGGTCAGAGATGTGGTTTTTGCCACACTTTGTGTGGGGGTTGGAAGCAGTTCCTGATGCCAAAATCTCTTTTTAGTACAGCTTGGGCTGGGCTGGTGGTGGGTAATATTTGAGCCTTAACAGTGTCTTCTGGGTATCTGTCTAAAGGCATAGTTGCCATTCCAAGAGAGGAGAGGGACAGCCGTCAGGTCTTTTAAAAGTGCTGCAGCACAATGTCTCGTGGAGGACAGGTATGTCTGGGTCCGGAGTGCTTGGTGTTCACTGTGTTCATGAGACCTTGCAGAGAAGGGGCGAGCGTGCTGACTCTGAGGCTCCATCAGCCTCCACCCCACCCAGCTGCCTGACCAGCATGAAGGCCATGGTGCTGCCAAGGGGCAGTCACTGGCTCAGCCAACCCTACTGGTTTTGGGTGCTAACTTCATGAGGGTGGCTTCAAGATGGGCCCTTCATCCAGGGGATTCCAGAATGAGGCACACACACTGCTGTGTCACATCTCTGGTACACAGCAGGGCATCAATAAATGCTCCCAGTGAGTGGCGTGTATGCAGAGGGTGCATGGTACGACAGTGATCACGGAGATCTTAGTGGATGGTCTCCCCTTGCACCTAAGGGAGTAAAGACTTATCTAAAAGACAGAACTTGGGAGTGAGAGAAACAGAAACGAACAGAAATACAGGGGTCTTCCATCTGCTGGTTTGCTTCTCTAATGGCCACAACAGCTGGGGCTAGCCAAGCCTAAGCCAAGAGCCTAGAACTCCATCCAGACCTCCCAGGAGGGTGACAGAGACCCAAGGCCTTGGGCCACCCTCTGCTGCCTCCCAGGTCCACCCCAACAGGAAGCTGGCCCTAAGAGCAGCGCTGGGAGCTGCACTCAGACACAACTGGCCCCACTCCATCAGGCTCACACGGATGCAACAGCATGAAAAGGCACCTGCCATGGGGACGGTTCAGCTGGCATGGGCAAGACATGATGAAAATAGTTCAAGAAACACAACCAAACCAAGATCAATTTAACTTCTCTAAATCTCAGCAAGAGACTGGATCCTGATTCGGAAGTGTTTTGCCAACCTGAAGTCTGGCATTCTGGGGCTGGCAGTGACTCCAGGTCCGAGAATGAGTTTCCAGATGTGAGCCCAGACGTGGCTCCCTTGCTCTTCACTATTCCACTGTACCTTAATCCACAATCGGCAATCACATCAATGCCTTTCATAAAAAAGACACATGTCCCTTGGGACATTGGCTGACGAGGCTACCAGACCCAGGAAGGTGGAGGCTTGCCCGCAGCTCTCCATCTCAAGCTTGGCCTAATCCAGGTCCAGGCCCTGGCAGCCACCCCTGGCTCCCAGGCCTGTCTTAAGGCAAATGATTTTTTTCCCTTTAATTTGGTCTGATCCATCTGCCCACCCCTCTCTGAAAGGCACCCTCAGGATTCATTCTTTGAATTTCCTGCCACATTTCACTGCTGGCTTCAGCACCCACTCAAGCCTTACACAGTCAACCACGGCTCCCCACACGCCCGAGTCCTTAGAGGCTCACATGTGTTACAAACAATGACATCTCTAATCCCTCCCCACCAGCAATAGGGATGGCTGGTGCAAGGGCTGTGCAAGCCCACGGCGCAGACCCAAGCTGGGAGGGCACAGCAAGCCAATGGCAGCTCCCCTCCCTCTGACAAAGTGGTGAGGGTACCACAACGGATGCATTTTCCGTGGGACGGTGGCAGGCGGGCTGGCACACACACGGAGCATCTTCCCCGAGCAGCCTCACGGGCACAAGCCCCAAGAATTACCCTGAGGCAGTGTGCCTGGTGGCATCCTCTTGGTACCAAGCCCACCACGCGCTCATCCCCGACCCTGTGGCTCCCACTTACCCTTCTCCTCGGCTCCAGGCAAAGTCCATGGGCTCCAGCTGGGGGTGGTCCTCCTTAAACCAGGGTCTGTCACATCACTGCTCTCCACACAGGCTCCCATGAGCTCCTGGGACCACAGCATCAATGCGTCTTCCACTCAACCTCGCAGCCCGGTTGCCCTGCCCAGGCCCAGGCCCAGGGCCTTGCTTTGAAAGGCGCTGCCTCTGCCCTCTACCTGTACCTACCCTCTACCTGTACCTACCCTCTACCCTGTACATACCTTTCCTCACAGAAAGGCTCAGAACATGGCTCCTCAGTGAAAGCCTGCTTGCTTGCTCCCGCCAGTCTCTTCTGACGGTCCTTCTGCAAAGGCCTTGTCCCTCTAACGCAACACTAGTAGCCCACCACCCATTTTTACTCTGTCCCATCACCCACGGCTTCAACGGTCTCCACTATATCCAAGCCCATTAACTGATGAAATTAAATGAAACACATGTTAGATACAAACCTGACATTTACAAAGCACACCTCAAGTGTCTTTCAGTTTCCAAAGAAGTCCAAAGAAAAACTGGTGTGTAACCTGTAATAATTAAAGCTTTTAAATCAGTCTTCAGTTATATAAGGACTTTCAAGGAAAAGTACTAAAAAGAGCAGCACCTAAATGAACAAGAACAAATAATTTTTATCATGACTGGGTACATTTTAAAATCTTTGAAAAGTCTGAGCTCAATAGTATGCTACCCGCTGCTGCCCGGCTTCACACAATGCTCTCACACAGCCCAGGTCAGCAGCCGCACTTGCTGATCAAGTGGCTGTAAGCAGGGAAGAGGGGGTGCTCTCCCCTTACCAGCCACCCCAGCTCCGCCCTCTCCCTTGCGAAGGTATGGGGGAGACACAGAGGACGTTGTGGAGCAACATGGAGTGGCACTACAGAGGGCCCTGGATGGCCCGCACCCCTGGCCCAGAGCAGCCCACCCAACCTGGGCAAAGAGGAAGCGGCAAGAGACCCCAGTTGTAAATAGTCTCTGAGTAGCTATGATGCCTGTTCTCCCATTTGGTTATGCGCATTGAAACAAAGTGTTTTTTTTACATAATTTCTCCAGCTAATACCACAAACACAAGACTTAGATCAACCAGAAAATCAAGGCTATAGATGAGGCTCTTTATAACGTGTGCAAAATCGCCTGCCCTACTAACACCCCTTTTCTCCCGATCATCAGAAAACGTTAACAATGTAAAAAAAAAAATAAAAACAAAACCTCACCAGTTTATGTATTTTTTCAATGAAAAAACTCTTAATTTCACCATTTTCATACCACTTTTTTCTTTTTTATTTAAAATATTATAACCAATGGACATACTAGGTAACATTGTTTACATTCCAGTGGTGCCTGTTCAATGACCAGGGCATGAACGACTGAAAACCACAATAATGACCTCAGCATTCCCTACAGAGTGCCCCACTGTGCGCTGGCTAGAGGGAGGGCGGCACAGGGCACGGGGAGGGGAGGGACGAGGCCGGCGGCAGCACAGACGGGGAGTGGGAGGAAGCCAATGTCAGTTCTCCTCCTCCGGCTTCCGGGGTGGAAAACCTTTGCCACAGGATATAGCAGGGTGAGAAAATAGATGGCACAGTCCAGGTAGACAGCTACTTCAGTTAACTTCATCATCGTTCAGCTAAAAGATTAACAGCTTCTCAAAAATATACCAAATATTGGGCCTACAAAAGTAATTTATTTCTTCGTAAAATTTACTAAGATTTACTCCTTTTGTAAAATGTAAAGAATGGACTGATATCACGAGCAGGTTTCTACTTACAAAAACAGACAATAATAGCGTCAGCAAGCACAGCGAACACAATTTTCCAAGATACACAGTGAAAGGTTACACACGCGAGTGTCTCCTACTCATGCAGGGTATGTAGTCTTACACACTTAACCAGGTGTGTATCAATGATGGCTCTGAGCAATCTCACGCACATTTAGAGCTCACACTCAGTAAAGATCTAATGGTGAGGGCGACCACTTCCTTGGGAAAGCATAGAAAATTAGTGTGAGGTAGTTCAATAAAAACCGAGTTTAATTTGTAAGTCTTTGTTGAGACTAGAACATTGTGCAAAACTAATCCACAGGTAAGATTTCTCACAAGTTTCTGTAACAAAGAGAATCTAAAGCAGAAATGGAAAGAAAGTGTTACTCTTACTAGACTCTCCTTTAAGAGCACTTAACCAAGAGCAGTTAGTTTGAAATTAATTAGGACTTTTGTCTTCCTGATGAGTTCTCCAATCTTACTCCCCTACACATTTCTGCTTCAATGCCCTTTACCTCTTCACCTTTCTTGCTATTAAGGAATAATTTGTTTCCTTGGACTCAGGAAAAGCCTAAGGGAGAGTAGTAGAAACACAGTGTGCGACTCAAACGGAACAGGAAGTGGAGGCAGCGGTGCTGAGGGCTGCACGGGACAGGGCGGCCGCGCATGGGACCAGAAGCTTCTCAGGGGCGCGGGGTTCCACGGACCCTCTCCACAGCTAGGGCGTGACTAACACACACAGCTCACAAACGACACCACTAATGCTGCAAACACTCTTTTCACCTCCACACGTTGCGCAATTTAACACCTAGGCAACACCGAACAGTTTAAAGTCTTCATTTGTCTAGTGGCTACTGGCCAAGAGCGGCAAACCAAGCCTAGACTGTCACCCGAGCCCGCTGCAGTGGCCTGCTGCTGCTCGCGCCATCACACTGCTGCCCTCTTCACCTTCTTAGACCACACAGCAGAATCAGCACACGACGACACAACAAAGGGGCTAACAGGAAAGTCTGCTGCTGACGCCCGCTTCCCCGTGACCAGGGCTGTGTGGCAGCCTCCTCGCTCGAGAGGTGAGAGCTTCTTACCCAGTGTGAACACGAAGAGCAGGAACACTCAGCAGCCACAGGTGTGTAACGAAGCGGAAAGCCTTTGGCCAACAGCATGAAAGGGTTGAGATGCTCTACGTGTGTATCTTACAATGAAGCAATCCAAACAACACCCTCGCTTAGCCAACAGTCCGTGTGCGCTGAAAGGTAAGACCAGCAACCAGGCAGACGCACGTACAAAGCACTAGTGTCTCTTTTTTAACCTACAAAGTTGAATAGAATCTTGGTCAAAATGACTTTAGGGTACGTTAAGTGTCTAAAACCCAAAACAGAAATTTTAAGAAAGATGGTTTGACACACAAGTACTGCTTGACAGAAATGCTGTCATTTCCTTTGAAAAAAAATTTAACATGCTTTGAATATTCTAAAATAAAAAATATCAAAAAAATCAATGCATATTCATTCAACTTCATGGATTTAGGAGGAAAAGCTGTATTTAGACAATGGAATTTTAAAAAGCTAGGACATACAACATTCAATAAGCAAACCTTGCAATTTTTTAGGATATAATTTAACTATTTTAACTTACATTAAGTGATTATGATTTCATTTTCTTTGAATTTCACTGAAACACAGTAGCTGGCAAGCGAGAGCTGGCATTTACCACACACGACACAGTCCCAACACCTGCCCTTGCATGGACAGAAAAGGCTTCCCGGCACCGAAACACAAACTAAGGGGATCTTCTCCAAGCACACGGGCTGTTAAAGTGCGACAGTGACATTATCCATCTGACATGAAATAAAGTGAACTAACTGTCAAATTAAGAATACACTCATGCTCAAATTTCTGCTACAATCATGACTCCAATCCGTGTTCCTGTAACTCAAGAGGTGTTCCAGTCTCAAAATTCTAATGTGCCTAATGAGATCACTGCACCGTGTTGTCTGAGCACAAAAGGGGTTGCTGAAAAAGCTTGTGAGGCAGAAGTCATGACGCTGAATCATCAAATCATCTACATAACAGGCTAGCGTGTTTTAATCTTAAATATTGCACATTAACAGTGACCTAAAAATACCTTGCTCAGGAGGAATTCTGTACTAAATATACAAATAAAACACCAAAGAAACTTTCAGACACCGCATGCTGAGCTTGCACCTGTTCGTGCTCCTGTTGGTCATGAACTCCAATGTGCTTTCTGCCTAGAACCTTGCCGTTCCACTTCAGGATGCACTTCCCTGCTCATCACAGGAAATTCCTCTTGTTCCAGAGACAATAAAAGATGCCTGGGGCCATTACAGAATATTTCAGAAATAATGAAACGTCAATGACATTTTACTTCAGAAAAATTCAGTTATAGAGAAATAATTCTGCAGATATAAAATGTAAACAGTTAACATACACTTGTCAGGAGCAGCACCATTCTTACACTACTCAACATCCACACTGGGTGTTACAGTGAAAATCAGGTATAAAAAAACCAAAGACTCAGACAAGAACCACCACTTACGCCTGCTCTGCTCAGTGTGAACAAACAGTCCTCGGAAAATGCTATCCTATATATGGCTGTGTGCTACTATTTTCAGATGAACGGTATATTGCTCATTTGATACATCACCTACGCAAAGCTAAAGTAGGCTTTGGAACCTCCTGACAGCTTGTTTAAATGTGATTATGCTACAGGTAGAACCAAATGGCTAGAAACACCATGAGAACTGGTGCTCAACTGACACTTCATGTCACAGGAAACCAGAAAGGTCCAAGGGCCCGAGGCTGCAGGAAAAGCAAAAGACTAGACTCTAGACCGTTGCTGGAATCCGCAGCCTGAGGAGATCTAACTCGGTGTATACAAAAACAGGCTCATAGCTTGTACAAGTGAACCATCTGTTTATTTGCATTGAAATATATTATTCATGAAGTATCCTCTTGATTTTAAGTGATAAGTTTCGAGCATGCCACAGATTTGCAGAGTACATCATATTCTCTTGACTTGGGCTGGGTATGGTAGGGAGGTAAGGTAGTGGTGGCAGACACCTGGCACCTTCAAAGACATGCTCTGGGTTATTCTGCCATTTGGATCATAGGGTTTTTGCCAAAACTTTGGTAGGGCTGCCTACCAGTTGTTGTGACTCAGTGAGGATTGGCAAGTAGCAAATATTGGAGGTCTCTCAACACGTTCATCATTTACAGTAGTTATTCCTGAATAGAACTGGCTACAGGTTATTCTCCCTCACTCCTCTGGGGTTATTTCATTGAGAAGCACATAACCCTGAAGGATAGTATCATGAACAAAACATCTGAAATAAATTCTAATAAAAAAAAACTATAAAAATCTTAAATAATTCATGATATAGGCAAGTCACCACATAATAATTGCTTTGATAAACAAAATCTTACAAATTCAGTAAAAAAAAAAATCAGCAGCATAAGATAAAGCAAATATGCAAAAAATTTAAACCATGATAAAATAATTAGGTTTACATTATACAGTTAATTACAGCAAAAAATAACAATACAGTTTTGTTCCTGTTTTGAAACAACTTAGATTTTAAATTACATCACTTGAAATAAAAAAAATAAACTACTTTACTACAAAATGAATTCTACATTTTTTTGGAAAAAAAAAAACCACTCAAAAATAAGCCCACTGAATTGTTTTCAAAGTAGTTCTATGAATGACTAGCCGACGCCCCTCCCTCCCCACCCCCCAAGGCCCAAGCAGTCATCTGCAGCAGCCCAGAGGCCCGGCAGGGGCATCCAGACTGCTGTCTGTATCTGAGGCCAAAGTCGGGTCTGTTGACATTGAAGACACATCGTTGACAGACGACGATGACGATGGATGCTGACAGCCACTGGTCACTGCTGCACCTGTGCTATGAGAAACAAAACAGCAAATCAGTTGCAGAGAGAGTTGCAACCTGAGGTGCTGGCACTGTTACCACATCCGTGGGTTCAGAATACTCACTAAACATCACCACAAGTAATACTGAACACAATACAAACTCAGAAACATTCACTACGGGTTACGGGGTGGGAATTCTGTAAATATCCAGACAGGACTCTAGAACTTTGAGCTATGTTCCTTCCACTGCATGAGAGCTGGCTCCAGCACTATGACACAGACGTCACCACCAGCATTGCAAGCATCCCACATGGGCATCAGCTTGCGTCCCAGCTGTGACCTTCCAGCTCCCTGCTAATGTGCCTGGGAAAGCCCAAAAATGTGGGAGACCTACATGGAGCTCGAGGTCCCTACGGCTTTGGCTTGGCCCTAGCCCTGGACACTGTGGTCATATGAGGAGTGAACTAGCGCACGAGAGATCTCTGTTATTCTCTACCTTTGCCTTTCAAATAAATAAAACAGAATTTTTTAAAAGGATTCTATAGCAAGACCCATGAATGGACTTCAGTACGCGTGTGAATAATGCTCACAACACAAGAAAAACGGTATGTGTGTTGCTGAAAAAGATCTCAATGAATCATGTCACTGAAAGAAATCAAGGCTAAGAAGTCTCAGAGGGCTGGCCTTGTGGCCCAGCAGGTAAAGCTACCTACCATCTGTAATGCCAGTAGCCTGTATCGAAGTTTGGCTTTGGGTGCCACCTGCTCTACTCTGTTCCAGCTTCCTGGGAAAGCAGTGGCTGACAGCTCCAGCAGCTGGGTCCCTGCTGCTTATGTGGGAGACCAGATCCTGGCTCCTGGTGATAAACTAGACCAGCCCTGGCATTGGGGAGTTGCAGTCATTCGGGGAGTGAACCAGTAGAAGGTAGAGCTCTCCTTGTCACTCCATTTTTCTGATTCTCTGCCTTCTAAATAAACAAATCTTTTAAAAAATTGCTGATTTCTTACTAAAGACAAAAAGTCCAAGCAATATTTTGATACATTTGCTTTAAAGCAAAAGTCAAAACAAAGAATTAAACCACTTTAACAGGGGGGACCTCAGTTACCTGTTACTGCTAACCTGAGGTCAAGTGACTTCTCCAGGTCACCCAAGCAGCCTAGCTGGGTCAACTCAGGCTATCTCATTTCTAATAAATCTTGGAATCATACCAATGGAGAGGCACTAAATAGCTAAAAAATGGAAATCCTTCGTATTTACTCAAAGAATTACTGAATAGGAAATTCTCAAATTTTAAAAACTAATAGGAATACTTGACCTACTCAGAGAATCACTTCAACGGGACTGGGCCGGTGCAGTAGCCTAGTGGCTAAAGTCCTCACTTTGCACGTGCCAGGATCCTATATGGGCACCAGTTTGTACCCTGGTTCTGTCACTTTTCTTCTAGCTCCCTGCTTGTGGCCTGGGAAAGCAGCCAAGGACAGCCCAAAGTGTTGGGACCCTGCCACCCGTGTGGGAGACCCAAAAGAAGCTCCTGGGAGCTTCAGATCAGCTCAGCTCTGGCTGTGGCAGTCACCTGGGGAGTGAAAGAATGAATGGAAGATCTTTCTGTCTCTTCTTTTTATAAATTTGCCTTTCCATAAAAATAAATAAGCCTAAAGAAGAAGAGGAGGCAAGACCGTCTCGCGTGTTGGGGGTAGGAACTATGTGAAAATCAACTCATATTCTAACCCGCGTAAGGGACAATTCCAAATGCAAATCAAGTTATACATGACTCTCAAACGCACACTTACGGAATGAAACAACTGGTATCCAAACAATACCAGCAGAATCTCTAAGGCTGAACTTCACCAGCCAGTGAAACTACAAACAAGCTGAAAACACCATTCCCCCCAAATCAGCATCTCAGTGTTTTGAAATTCTCCTTTTACTGTCTGATGGTGAGCGAGAAAACACTTAATCCAAGGGGCCTCTTGAAAGCTTGTGCTCAGATGCAAGCAGGAAAGAGGAAGGCAGCACAAGAGGCAAACCACTCAAACTAGGCACGACGACGATGGGATGAGGGCATCCCAAGGGACAGCTTAACTCAGGGGGACAAACATGTCCTTCCCGGAACACTCATTTCAATATTAGCCAAACCAAAGTAAGGATAGGAAACCAACCACTAACTAGAGGTAAACATTTTATGATTAAATGAAAACAGCACTATGACTGACACTTTATAAAGGACTTCCTCATTTCTGTAGATAATCACAAGCTGAGTTATTTTTAAGATATTTACTTTCTTCTTGAAATGCAGATAGACAGACAATAAATGAAGAAACAAATAGTATTCTGTCTGAGATGTACTTCCTAAGTGTCTGAGAAGCAAGGGCTAGGCAAGGACAAGCCAAAACAGAATTCAATACAGGTCTCCCATGTGGGGCGCAGCTCAGCTGCACTGGAAATAGGGGTGCCAGACTTAGACCAGCACTTTGATAAGAGATGCAGGTACCTCAAGTGGCACAATGCTTGCCTCCCAAGTGCTAAATATTTTTAGAACAACTTAATTTACTGTTTCCAAAGTGTTACTGAAGATCCAGAAAATGTCTAGAAATCAAGTCTTGATTTTTGCACTAACTTATTTTACTGTCATAAGTACTAAGACCCAAATTATCCAGTTACAAATTAGGAACAAATACAACTGCTCAACCTACTTCATGGGATTATTACACTTACTAACATGTGACCCTTAGTCACATGCCACTCACCAGGATGGAATGCTAATATATAAAGTTGCCCCAAACAGCAGACTTCTGAAATCTCACGTGAACCTCCACCATGCAGAAATAAGTTCCATAATTTCAAAGAATGCATTCCTGACTTAGCAGCCAAAATGAACTGTAAAATATACTCTATAAACTGCTAAATACTAAAATTAAAATAGACACAAGACAGCTGAATAGTAATCCATAGCCATTTTAAGGTGTATAAAACCCAGTTGTATATAAACTAATAATTGAAAAGTCAATGAAGAAGTCACAGGATGTGGTTCAGAACTTGCATTTTTTTTTCTTTCAACATATTGGTTAGTCAATACCATGTCAATTAATTCCATAACATTATAAATTGTTACTGATGTAATGTCGGGGCTTTTAACTGATTGGGATAATACTCTGCCGGCTCTACCTTCAGACCAGAGACTGTCTCCCCAAGAAACCATTTAACTTATCTGGACAATAAGATGCTGGACTTTATGCTTGGTAGATGCTTGCAACGAAAGAGTCTCAACTAAATTTGAACTGTGGTAATGCAACAAGATGAAAGAATCTACCACGAGGGGAGGGTTTGGGGGAATCCCAGTGCCTATAAAACTGTGCCACATAATGCAATGTAGTCAATAATAATAATAATAAAATATATATATATGTATAGTAAAAAGTCACACCAAACGTTACAAAAACATTTAACCAACTTTACACTACAAAAAAATCAATCTGAAAATATATTTTGCATATAAACAAGATGGTAAGTGTTGTAAGAAAGATTAAAATGGTTTAAAAATTTTTTTAAATTAAGAAGTACTTTCCTGGGGCTGTTGTGGTATAGTTTATAACACTACAATCCCATAGAGGAGAACCGGTTTGAATCCCAGCTGCTCTGCTTCCAATCTGGCGCCCTACTAATGCGCCTGGAAAAGCAGTAGGTGATGCTACAAGTACTTGGGATTCTGCCATGCATCTGGGTGACCCTGATGGAATTTCAGGGACTGGGTGTAGGCCTGGAACAACCTGGACACTGCAGTCATTGAAGGAGGAGTGAACTGGGGGTTCAAACATCTTTTTATCATTTTGCCTTTCAAACAAAAATAAGTCTTTTCAAAAAGTTGAGCACAATAATTTTACAAATGTATGGGTTATGGACCCGGCACGGTGGCCTGGTGGCTGGAGTTCTAGCCTTGCATGCACTGGAATTTCATATAGGCACTGGTTCATGTCGTGGCAGCTCCACTTCCCTTCCAGCTCCCTGCTTGTGGCCTGGGGAAGCAATGAGAACGGCTCAAAGCCTTGGGACCCTGCACACGCATGGGAGACCCCAGAGAAGCTCCTGGCTCCTGGCTTCAGACAGGCTCAGCTACGGCCACTGTGGCCACTTGGGGAGTGAACCTGGGGATGGAAAATCTTTTCTTCTGTATCTCCTTCTCTCTGTAAACCTGACTTTCCAATAGTAAATAATCTTTCAAAAAAATGGGTTACAACAAGACAATCTTGTACAAGCATACAATGCACATTGACCAAATGAAGGGGGAATTGGGGAGGGGATAAGGGAATATGGAACTGTTATCATAAAATGATAGCAATAAAAAAATGCTTTCTTCTACTTAAAAAAAGAGAAGTATTTATTTATCTATTTATTTATTCATTTATTCATTCATTCTATTGCAGAGTCAGACATGCAGAGAGGAGGAAAGACAGAGAGGAAGATCTTCCATCCGATGATTCATTCCCCAAGTGACCTCAATGACTGGAGCTGAGCCGATTCGAAGCCAGGAGCCAGGAGCTTCCTCCAGGTCTCCCACATGGGGCAAGGTCCCAAGGCTTTGGGCCATCCTCTGCTTTCCCAGGCCACAAGCAGGGAGCTGGATGGGAAGCGGGGCTGCCGGGATTAGAACCAGTGTCCATATGGGATCCTGGCACATTCAAGGTGAGGACTTTAACCACTACACTACTGAACCAGGCCTGAATTCACAGGTTTCTGATCTACCTTGCTGCTGCTTTGATTCTGTATCTCTCTTGCTCCGTGTCAAAGATCTCGGCCTCCTGGTGCTGCGGCCTCCGCAGCTGCTGCTTCTTGAAGTAGACACCAGTGAGCTGCTTCAGGATCTGCACACACTGATGTCAACTCCAGACACTATGACCTAGGATGTTCATGTTGTAAACAGCACTTCCAACTGCTGACCAAATGCTCACCCTACTTTCAATTATTAGGTAACTCATTGATTTCCTTTTCCTTGGGGCCTGCTGCTACAGCTATTGTGTTCTGTTGCTAGAATCATGGCACCTTGCTTTTTCATGCTTCTTGTGTCCCTATATTGACACACAAAGCTAATTACCTGTGTCAAAGGTCACCTGGATACTGAAGGACTTTCCCTGGAGTTGTGTCCTAGGATGTCAGCCAACCAGGTAACAGTGACTCCGAGTCCAAGCAGATGCAGCAGCAGAGTGCCTGTGCGGCTTCTCTGGTGTAATGAATGTTGATGTCTGCTGTGGATGATGCTGTGACGTAAGATCTACAGAAGAGCCCCACAGCCAGGAGGCTGCTCTCTCAAGTAGAACGGGTTTCCCAGCTGCCCTGACACACTGCCACCTGGCTACAGGTAGGGAGCATGCCATAACAAGTCTATGCAGGTGAGCACGCCCGTGGGCCACGTGGGGACCGGGGGCAAGGCTTTCATCAGTGTCACAGCCGCATGGCCATGTTCCACAGGTCCTTGCCACATCATCCCCTAGCCCTCTGTTTCTGCTTTGATCCTTCTGTGTGGGTACAAGCACTCAGGCACCTCCAGTCAGTCACCTTGTTGGCACCCCTCTTTTGATGAAGACCTATCTTTTGAAATGCCATTCAGCCTTCAGGCTTCAGCTCAAATTTCACCTCTTCATTAAACTGTCCCAAGCCCTGTAGCCAGAGAATTCAGAGATACATGGGACGCTGGAACAACCACCCACTTGGAAGTTACTGTAATAGTTTTTCTATAGACCTTACTACAGATTTATGGTTTTATGTTCCACTTTGTGAACTTTAACTTCCTCGTCTGTAAAATGTGAGTAATTTCTACCCTGGAAGTGCAGAGATGAATGAGATGAAGTACATACATCACCAGGGTCCGTTACATACTTGCTATGTATGACCTGCCAGCCTCTCAATTTTTTATACTTTCACATACACTCAAAAGATCAGCTTAAGAGGAAATGTTTTTAAATCCTGAAAACCAGCTTTCTTCTTAGAAAATGAGTATTTTCAATAATGTTTTTAACACTAATTGGTTCAGACCAACAAATTAAAAAATATAAACGAAAGAAAACCTGCAACTTGGTGTTATGTATACCAAATCTTTCGAGATCAGACAAGATCGGGCGCGTTCAGGGTGGTATGGCCGAAGACAATACCAAATCTTAGAGGTCAGTTTTTTTAATCCAAGGAAAACACCTTTAAAAGGGGGCTGACAATGTGGTACAGTGGATAGAAACTATCTACAATGCCAGCATCCCATGTGGGTGCCAGTTTATGTCTTTGCTGCTCCACTTCTTTTTTTTTTTTAAGATTTATTTTATTTTTATTACAAAGTCAGATATACAGAGAGGAGAGACAGAGAGGAAGATCTTCCATCCGATGATTCACTCCCCAACAGCCAGTGAGCGCAACAGCCAGTACTATGCCAATCCGAAGCCAGGAGCCAGGAGCTTCTTCCGGGTCTCCCACACGGGTGCAGGGTCCCAAGGCTTTGGGCTGTCCTCGACTGCTTTCCCAGACCACAAGCAGGGAGCTGGATGGGAAGTGGAGCTGCTGGGATTAGAACCGGCACCCGTATGGGATCCCGGCGTGTTCAAGGCGAGGACTTTAGCCACTAGGCCACGCCGCCAGGCCCTGCTGCTCCACTTCTGATCCAGCTCTCTGCTAATGGCCTGCAAAATCAGCAGAAAATGGCCCAAGTATCTGGACTCCCGTCATCCTCTTGGGAGACCCAGAAGGTCCTGTCGCCTGGCCCAGCACCGGCTGTTGTGGTCACATGGGGAATGAACCAGCACTCGGAAAAGCTCTGGCTCTTGCTCAAAGTAACTCTTTCAAATTAAATAAATACATCTTAAAACAAAACAAAACAAACAAAAAAACCTGTTACAATGATATCAAGGGAACTAGTGAAATTACTTCTTAAAAAAATATTTACTTATACCTTGTACTTATTTGAAAGAAGAAAGAGGAGAGGAGAGAAGAGGAGAGAGAAAAAGGGGTGGGGGGAAGGAGGGAGGGAGGGGAAGAGGGAGAGAGAGAGGGAGGGAGGGAGAGAGAGAGACACACACTACTATATACCAGTTCATTCCCCAAACAGCTACAATGGCCAGGCCGAAGCCAGGAGCTTCATCCCAGTCTCCCCAGTGGGTGCAGGGGCAGGGCCCCAAGCATTTGGGTCACCTTGAACTGCTTTCCGAGAAGCAGTAAGCAGGGAGCTGGATCAAAAGTGGAGCAAATGGGACTGCAACCAGAACCCACAGGGGATGACCTTGTTGCACTCCAACTGTGGCTCCAAGGGGGAAAAAGCTTCCAGTCTGTCCCAATGCTTTCAAATGTAACCAGCTAAATTTATTCTTTAGATTTATGAATATTTGAACAATAATAATAATGGTAGTAAATAAGGCTAGACTATAAGTTTCAGGCCTTGGTAATCAGCCAATTTTATATTGTAACCAACCTAAAGGAGAGGGCTGCCCTCGTATAACTCCGTTCTTGGTTCTTTCTTCCAAATCCATCACTTCCTTGTATATCAATTCTGAAAAAGAAACAGAGAAAAAAGAACTTTTTACAGTCTGACAGCCAATCTCACGGGAACTTTTAAGTCATTCTTTGTATACACTGAGTATTTCAAGCAGTGTCCTGCCAGTGGCAGAGGCTCTGTAAAGTCGCCATCTAAGAGTGACAGGGGTTAGCAAGAACCTCAGATTTGCAACTACAAATTACATAAAGGAAACTCAAAATCTGCTTTAATGCTTCTTAAGTTGGCTGAAAGACAGAGCTATGCTACAAGCTTTATTGTTTTGACTCTGCCAGCATCCTGACTACAGCACATCACCCAGCAAGTTACATCACAAAAGCTTACTCAGTTCCCAACTTTAGGTCCTCAGACCTGGCATTCTGCTTTAAGCACATAGTAGGTGCTCAACCGGCTATCTTTTAAAAAGAATTAAAAAATGGTATGAAAGCTTCTCCTGTCAGAATGGAACATAAATATATTCATGGAGGAAAAGCACAGGTAGGTAAAACAGCTCAGCTGTCTGAGTAAATAGTCCGGCACAACAAGAAATCTGAAGCGGTTTTTTTTTTTTTGTTGGTTCCATGTTGCTTGTGAAGAGCAGGCAGGCCACAATGAGGACTGTTCTCATGGAGACACGGGGCGCTGTCCGCTGGGGGTATGCCTCCTGCCCTATATTCTGCTGTATGATTTGGATGGTAACTGTGGGAATGAATTAAAATCTGCTTGCTACTACAATCTTAGGCTCAAAGTAAAAAACAGAAAAGTCTTGACAGAAAAGAAAACAGATACTTTTGGGCCCAGCGGCATGGCCTAGCAGCTAAAGTCCTCAACTTGAACACGCCGGGATCCCATACGGGTGCCGGTTCTAATCCCAGCAGCTCCACTTCCCATCCAGCTCCCTGCTTGTGGCCTGGGAAAGCAGTCAAGGACAGCCCAAAGCCTTGGGACCCTGCACCCGTGTGGGAGACCCGGAAGAAGCTCCTGGCTCCTGGCTTCGGATTGGCATAGTACTGGCTGTTGCGCTCACTGGCTGTTGGGGAGTGAATCATCGGATGGAAGATCTTCCTCTCTGTCTCTCCTCTCTGTATATCTGACTTTGTAATAAAAACAAAATAAATCTTAAAAAAAGAAAGAAAATAGATACTTCTATTCAAAAAAAGGTAAGCACTCCATAAAAAATAGCTTTTTAAAAAGAAAAAACAGAACCTCTTTATGAGCAGAGATTCAGACAGAAGAATCAAACAAATATTAACTAGAAAAAAATCTGTTGTTAATATCTTTGACAATAGATTATTGTGTTTCCTACTTGGGAGCTAAAACTGTTAAGCAAATCTTGAAAAATGCAGTTTCTAGACAACTAGTGAAATATACTTTGGGTTGGAAGAAAAAGACGCAGAATAAAGGTAAACATTTTTAAAGTAATAAAAAAACCCCAAATATACCCTTGATAAATGAAACTATATTTCCCTCATTTTAAAATATCATTTACCACCACTTATTATCTCTGAAACTGGTTGCAACTCATAAGTAACACTGCAGTACAATCGGTACTGTTTCCTGTTATAATTCTATAAAATTCCATGTCTGTTACAAAGGTAACGGAACATAAAATATCAGGCTAAACTTTGGATTCTATTCTGGCCCGGAGGTACATCCCTACATAGATTCAAATACAGTAGGCTCTCCCCAGTTCTCTTGTCTTTGTCAACCCTGAAGCTCCCAAAGGCCCGTCAGGAAACAAAAGTGTCTGCTTTTTCTCAAGAAGAACCAAATACTTTTTTCCCAAAATAGATGTACAGATTCACTACCCATTCAGGTTTCTAATCCCCAGTCCCTTTTGCTTTCCCAGTATCCCAATAGCCATGTCTTAATAACAGGTCTACTGCCCTTATTGAAGACAAATTACAAATGGTGATTTACCCAAAAGTGCATAGTTACAAAAGCACTGAAACACCAAATGACAATATAAACACAGTAAATGGGGATCTAAAATTCACCTGGATTAACATTTCCATGACTGCCAAAGTATCATCAACAGGCAATTACATCCATAAAACAGAACAAAGTTACTATACTTCTAATTACTTAATCTGTTGGCATTCTGCTGAAATCAGAGGGAGAGCAAAAGATACTTAGCTATATGACACAACCACGATTTTTGTGGAAACTAACTTAGAAATAACAAAAATATCCTTTGGCGCAGCACATCTCCTTTAAAGGTTTCTTACAGACATATTCTCATATGTGCAAAAATAGCATACAGTTGCTGTAAAAGCAATGGCTGGACATATAGAATGCCCTTCAGAAGGCAGCTGGACACAGAAGCTGTGACATCAGAGTACAAACAGGGCAGCCACATGAACTCAGAGAGAGACACCTTGAAGATACAGAATTACAGGCCAGGTGCAATAACCCAGTAACTAAATCCTCGCCTTGCATGTGCAAGGATCCCACATGGGCACCAGTGTGTATCCCAGTTGCTCCACTTTATCATTTAGCTCCCTCCTTGTGGCCTGGGAAAGCAGTTTAGGATGGCCCAAGCCCTTGGGACCCTGCACCCACGCAGGAGACCAAGAAGTTGTTCCTGGCTCCTGGTTTCAGATAGGCTCAGCTCTGGCCACTGCAGCTACTTCAGGAGTGAAAAGCAGATGGAAGATCCTTCTATCTCCTTTCTGTATATCTGTCTTTCCAACATAATAATAATAAATCTTAAAAAAAAAAAAACAGAATTACTAAAATAAGGCAAGTATGCAAAATATACATAGCATACAACGATCTACAACTTAAAAATGCTAAGAGAGGAGGGAAGGAATACTCCAAGTGCAATTGCATATTTACAGTCTATGGAAAAACCCGAGAGACTGTATTGGTGTTCGGGGTACGAAAGCTGAACAATTAAGTCAAGGAGAGAAGGGAAAGTATCTTCCATCTTTATAAAAATATTAGGTATTATATTACCAAATAAACATCAGTTATGAATAATGCAAAAATCAGTAATTTCCCTAATGTAGTGAACAAACCATCCTAAAAAATTCAGCAGCTCTTTCCGTTTTCTCAGAATCCGATAAAGGTTACCTTTCCACTCTTCGATTGTGTGTTCCCTCTCATCTAACTGCTTGTCAGGTATCTTTGGTGGTGGCTGGAAAACAAGGCAACAATAATTGAGACACTTGATTGGGAATCAATACACTGCAATTATTTAGATGATCAGGTGGAAAGCTTGTAAAAACGCATGGTAAGACCTACACAGATCAATCACCAACAACCTTCTTATACAGACACACCGCAAGACTTCCCGCAAGGAGAAGCAGCTGATCTCCTAAAACAGTTCTCGACAATGTTATACAACTGTATCATAGACTTCTTGCAGGCTTTGCATAAGCAAACTTTTTTCTAAGCCAAGATGTCCCCCAGGGCAATCAACATCCTAGCTCCCCTGCCCCTTTCATCACATATCAAGGTGAGTCTATTTTGTGTAGGAGGTGCTTCGATATAGTCGTTTGTTTAAGGCACTGTTCTTGTGAAAACAGAAAACACCACCGTAACACACTTCAAATTAACAAGTCTCCTCCAAGCGTAACTTAATTCTGACAGTGCAGCCTCTTCTTCAGACAGTAAGCAAGGACTTACGGCTTCTGCTTCCGAGGGATCATACCACACGTTGATGTACGGGTGCTGCAGAGCTTCATCTACCGAGATCCTCTTGGACGCGTCGATCACCAGCATTTTAGAAAGCAAATCCCTTGCCTGACTGGCTGTAAAAACAATGATGGTACTGCACACTGTGTTCATAAAGGCCTCGCAATTTATCAACACATTTCAGAAACCTGAGGTGATCTTTTTTGAAAAGGTTTATATTTTAAAGAACAGATTTTACTACCGAATCATTCATACATAGGATTCAAAATTAGAAAGTTAAAGATAAAAAAGCTAAAGTTTCACTTCATTCTACATTCACAGACAACCCTGGGTTATGTCCCATAGGAACAGGAATACACACACACACACACACCCCACATAATGGGATTACACATTTGTGAAAAGTACCTTTAAGTTTGTTGTGTTCCGAGTCAGCTGGGAAAAGCACATCAGGGAAGAGTTTCTCAAAGCTATATCCGGCATACTTAGGTCTGTTTTCAACATAAGTCCTTACTGTTGGCTGGAGTTTCTTCATGAATTCAGGACACGGTGTTCCAAGCTGTTCAATAACTTTATTCCACTGATCAATATCTAATATCAAGTAGCTAAGAAAAATATTCTGTAGCTAATGTTTGACATGTTAGTTACACTCATTAACATATCAAGAAAATGGAAAATCAAAGCATTTCAGAAAGAATGTGGCCGTTATAAATTTTCTATCTCACAGCCACCTTCCAAACACAATGACTGTAGGTGGACAGAAATGGTCAATGAGTATGTCTATTTACTGTGTGTGTGTGTGTGCATGCGTGTATACAAATACTGATTTTACCACAAAAATAGAGGCTTCAGCTGACAAACTGTAAGCATAATTATAAGCAACTCACAGAATCAGTGAGCGTCACCATGCACTGGAACAGTACAAGTAAACTGTACATAATTCTAACTCACCAACTGGCATTTTCTTCAAAATTATCAGAAAGTCTGAATGTACTTTCGACAGAGTTAAGAATCATTTCTATAATCTGACCTGCTTTTTAAAGTTTTCTACAGTAAGAGAAAATAACTAGTGGCAATAAAACTTGTGGCTTGGATAAAAGTGGCACTTTCCTCCACCATTCTTTACTTAGCGGACATGAACGCAGATTCACCATTTCAGTCAACTCTGGGCCTCCCTGTTTTCCTTCTTCCTAGCCCTCGCGTTCCTTGCTCAGCAGCTTGCCGTGGCCTTTGCCATGCCTTCTAAGTAATTCTGCCACCAGTTACCAAAAATGTAATAGCTGTCATTTTTAATGTAAATATCAAAAGCTGCCCAATGGACAAAAAAGCATGACTCCGAATCCAAACATCACCATATGAAACTATTATTGCTGAAATTCTCAAATGAAAGATTCAGTATGTTCAGCTATGATACAACAATAAAACACACACAGACACACACAGAAACACACATAACAAAAAGGAGGACAAAACTTAAAAAAATGGCCAGAAGCAACAGATAATTCCAAAATTCGTATCAATGTTTAGGTATGTCTATACTCACTCAACTGTATAACTATTAGAAATTTTAATGCAAGCCATGATTTTTTTATTTAGCTCAATAAATCAACTCAAAGCCAGCAAGTGACTGTGGATAATTATACTTGAGCAGGTTTCAGTATTAACACGTGAAACAAAATGAGGGAAAGGAAAGTTTAGGCCAAATAGCAGGTGGTATTTTGAAAGAGTAATTTAACAATACTTATATTAGGGAGAGACAAATGCATTATACCTGACCAAGCTGTCATACATTTTGACCTTTAGAAACTACATTTTAGGCCAAAGATAAGGATACGATCTGTACCTGGGAACAAAACACCACCTTTGATCATTTCTCCCATGATGCACCCAACTGACCAAATGTCAACTGAAAACAAAATGCAATGACATTAACATAAAGATCCTGGTTAAAATAAAAAATAAATAAAACATTTAAAGAAAATCACACACACCATGTATAATTTCAAACTATAGAAAGCAGTATAAAATAAAAATGAGTGACAGTGAATGTGCTCTGACTACCAGCAGAGACTGTATGTCCTACTGCCAGATGCAGCCTACAAATACTTTAGTTTCTTATCAGCAAGTTTTGGAACTATAACAGCCACAAACTTTTTATGTCTTTTCAACAACAACGGTATGTATGAATGTCGTGCATCGTTTCCGTTAGCAGGAAGTTGAGCAGCTAACTGAATGCTGCAGCAGCACAAGGATACAGTCCCTTCCTGGAAAGAGGATTTTGTGGCAAACCATTTCTCCCATAATGCACCCCACAGACCATAAATCCACTATATGTTTGCAGCACAAAAGAAGGAAAAGCAAAGCAAAAGGTCATTAAAATCAAAGAAGCATAATATGACTGCATTATATACAAACTGCAACACACCACAGAAAGAAAAACATGATTTTATCTTTAGCTAATGGAATAATATAAAACAAAATATTTTTCAAAAGCCTTTGGTTCATAAAAGAAAAAAAAAAGTGGCCTTTTAATTACATCGTCTAATTTTAAAGTGAGAGATATGCACAGTAATTACACACACAAAAAATTACCCTGACATTTTGTGATTAAGAATTTATCAAACAGAACCAAACACAAGCCTTATACATAAAGATAAAAATGCACATAAGGTAGTAAAAGTACAAAAATTAAATACAGCGTTTTTAAAGTTAAACTGTGCATTATACTCTCTCTTTAAGTTAAATAAAAGAAAGAAGCATAAGCAGAAATAATTTAGCAGATTAAAATACTTAACAGAAGGAATGCCTCTATGAGTAAGTAGTTTATCTCAAGGTCTTCAGAAAATTTCCAACTGGATTTCATAAGTTTATTTAATGAGAACACAAGAAGCGCTACATTTATTTTGAATTAAAAGACAATTCTCTTCTTGGCAGCACAAAAATAAGGTATATTCACTTGACTATCCCAAAGAAACCAGTGCATAGAGAACGAAGAAGCTAATTCCTAAGGAATCCTAGTCAGGCCAGTGAACTCTATGTTTCTCACCTAAAGCTGCTTTGGTTTAAGGAGTTGCACCTTGGCTGTCTACGGCAGGACACCTTCACAGGACTGAGTCTCTGGGCAGACACCATGACCCTCAAGCTGCCTGACCCGGAGTCCTTCTCAATGCTAAACAGTCTGCTAGACTCTCATGGAAACATAATTTGGGACTCTCCATCTATGTAGTAAAACATGCAGCACATCGTTGGTTGAAATACCTGATAAAAAAGGAGCAGATGCTTCTAGTTTAACGGGGTTGGTGGGATGGTGACAATTTAAACATAAGTCTTAGAAATGGGCGTTTTAGTTTGAAAGCCCGAATTCTTAGCGAGCTGAAGAGGGAAGCAGCAGGCATAGATGTTCAAGGGAGAAACCGCTTACCATCCTGGAGGACTCGGGCAATTAGAAATCTGTACTTCCTCACACATTCTTAGAATGAAATTGCCAGTTCACTGAGGAGTCTTATCCTGTGGGACTAAAGTTTCCCAAAAATTTTCTATTAAAAGGTATATAAATCTTTTAATATGTATAGTATGACTCAGCTACCAAGGATAAAAGTTTGAAGGAAAAATTAATATTCATAAACCAGTCAATCAGAGAATGACATTTTTTTCCCCCGGGATTTTCTTCTTGAGCAAAAATCCATTAGAGTAAGTCTTTCCTATTATATTTTAAAGACAATGGCAAACTTTGATAGCCAGGACACAGCCATGTTAGTAACTTTTATTAACATATTTAAAATCTAGAAAACAAAAAGATCTTAGGGCTGGGGTGACGGCTCAATTGGCTAATCCTCTACCTCCAGTGCTGGCAACCCACATGGGCAACAGTTTGTGTCCCAGCTGCTCTACTTCCATCTAGTTCCCTGCTTGTAACCTGGAAAAGCACTGGAGGATGGGACCCTGCATCCATGTGGGAGTCCTGAAGGGGTATCCCGGCTCCTGGCTTTAGCTTGGCTCAGCTCCAACTGTTGAGGTCATGTGGGGCGTCTACTAGCAGATGGGAGATATGGGAGATCTTTCTGTCTTTCCTTCTTTCTATAAATCTGCCTTTCCATTAAAGGTAAATCGATTTTTTTTTAAAGATTTTTATTTATTTATTGGAAAGTCAGATATACAGAGAGGAGGAGTGACAGAGAGGAAGATCTTCCGTCCAATGATTCACTCCCCAAGTGAGCGCAATGGATGATGCTATGCCGATCCAAAGCCAGGAGCCAGGAGCTTCCTCCAGGTCTCCCACACGGGTGCAGGGTCCCAAGGCTTTGGGCCGTCCTCAACTGCTTTCCCAGGCCACAGGCAGGGAGCTGGATGGGAAGTGGAGCTGCTGGAATTAGAACTGGTGCCACATGGGATCCCGGTGCGTTCAAGGCGAGGACTTTAGCTGCTAGGCCACGCCGCTGGACCCAAAAAAAAAATCTTGAAAACTGATCAAGAGAAGGTATTAGAAGGGCCAATGAAGACCATGACAATCATTAAGGCGACTGATTCATGCAAAAAAACTAGCCTTAAACGGACAAACTGCTTTGTCTGTTGACAGTTAAAATATGACCTTTTATTGCACACTCCTCCAAAATATTGAGGTAGCTTACAAAAAAGACAGATAAAACAAGGTTACTGAAACAGCTGAGTGTGGCTGCGACATGTCACTGACAGGAGGAAGTGTAGACATTTAGTTCTACTGACTAAAGAAGGCTATGATGAGTTTGTTGGGGGGTGAAGCAGCACTAATACGATCTCTGGTTTTCTTATCTGGGAGAGGAATGTGTGTCAATTGCTTCTGACATCCTTTAGTGGGAAGCTACCCCTAGACCACATCTAGGGGATACTGACATTACACAGATAACCAATAGTTTCACAACAAATGCAAAAGCAGGCTTCATATTAATCACCTGAATTCTCAAAAAAAAAAAAAATATATATATATAAAACCTCTAAACATTAGGCAAAAAATGGGAAAATAAAAGAGCAAGTTTACATAAAAAGAACTGGTAGAAAATGTCTGAAATAACAATTTTTAATTAGCTTAGAAAACAGAATTAAACTAAACTCCTAAATTCAATAGTATCTTTTATGAAAGATAAAACAATTTTAAAGATTGGCTCAGAGCCTGGCACAGTAGCCTAGCGGCTAAAGTCCTGGCCTTGCCCGCGCTGGGATGCTATATGGGCGACGGATTGTATCCCAGCTGCTCCACTTCCCTTCCAGCTCCCTGCTTGTGGCCTGGGAAAGCAGGCAAGGACGGCCCAAAGCCGTGGGACCCTGTGCCCGCGTGGGAGGTCCCAGAGAAGTTTTTGGCTCCTGGGTTTGGGATTGGCTCAGCTCTGGCTGTTGTGGTCACTTGGAGGAAAGAAGCAGTGAATGGGGGAACTTTCTGTTCCCCCTTCACTCTGTAAATCTGACTTTATAAATAAATAAATCTTTAAAAAAAGAGAGAAAGATTGGCTTCGTACTTTTTTTTAGTGAGTGAATTGCTGTTCTTCCTTAAAAAAAAGTCTAGATCTGATTTTAGGGAGTGTTTTTGATAAGTTATTACATTTAAAAGTTATCGATCATTTTAATAAAATTGCACAGACTTACTTATCTCCTAGACTCAAGGAAATTTCTTTCCCTATATATAAAAACCGCCCACATTCACTACATATGTATCAAATAGTTTTCCAAAACTCTGATTCCAAGGTTAGTATGTAATACACTAACTGGATATAAGCACACAGGCTGCCATTTCCTTAAGGCTACTACTACTATTAACCTTGACCATATGGCAACTAGAAATGTGGGCACACATCATTAGTACACAGGGATTGCTGCCAAGAGTAAGCCATCAGGACACTGCACACCTCCTCTATGCAGGAGTCAACAGTCAGGTCCAAGCTGTAGGCAAGCAAAGGACACAGAGTCTGTTGCAGAAGCTACGGCAATGAATCCTTGCTCCGATGGCAGTACTGATGGTATGAGTCTGCATTTAAATAAACAGGGCCCTCACATTTTTCCAAATATTTGCAACACTGGTATTTGCTTTCAGACTGTTGATACATGTTTCAAAGAATGATACACATTTAACTATAGGCATTTCAGTATAAGCATCTGATGAACAAAAGAAACCAAATCAAAAGAAAATTTACAACAGAAACAGCTTGCTGACCGTTTTCCTTGTAGCCCATGCCTAGGATGACCTCAGGCGCCCTGTAGTAGCGAGTCACCACATACGGAGTCATCATGAAACTTGTTCCCGCAGTCCTGGCCAGGCCAAAGTCAAGAATTTTCAAAGTGCAGTCTGATTTCACTACTATATTACTGGGCTTTAGGTCCTTCAAGAAACAAAAATAAAAAACAATCACTAAGTTTTGCACAAAGACTTTTCGGTTCATAATTATTGTAAGTTATCCTGTCATTTATAAAACAATTTACAGTAATCATTTTCCTAACTGGTACCAGTAATGCAAAGCCTCCTAAGGAAACGGCAAAGCCAATACATCAGTTCTAAGGAGTATTATATTTGTGAGTACAGTTATTAGAAAAAAATCAGTGATGTCTTATTTGCAAGAAATTGTAACAGCTACAACGCTTTCATCAAAGAAAAGATCTCTTGAAACTTATGTAAGAACCATTAAGAGAAGTCATAAGTTAATATCTCTATTCATTTATATACTAAATTATGTATTTTTACAATCTCATTTTAAAGTAATAAGTTTTACATAGCTATTACAAATCCCTAACAGGCCATGTCTTCAATCCTGCAAATGTTCTCTGACCTTTCAGACTGGCAGATTTAAAGGGCCCAAATAGTTCCTTATCAGTCTTTCTATCCATCACTTCCCATCTAAAATGATAAAAATCTGCTCAGAAAACTTCTGTCTGCTTGTAGAAATAGGATACTGCTATCTTAGTGCCACTAATCCATAATTCACTTGCAAATGGCACTCCTAAATAATGTGAGCATGATCTATTTCTCACCTAACCCCAACCAGAAGTAATCCTGTGCAATGCCCGTTACACAGGCAGGCGGTATCCTAGACACTCATATTCAACACACTTTGCCATTAGCCCTTAGGAATTCCATCAAGAATCAAAAAACCCAGCAGGTGTATGTGCACACATGAATACAACGCACTACATGGAATGATGAGCAGTACACGTTACATGCCTGCCACAACAGGAAACAAAGCCAGGCTGAAAGAAAAAGAATATTTCTATGTCTACATCCCACACAGCACATATGAGGGGGCCTTCAAGTTCACAGAAAATGTATATTATAAAGAAGTTGCAAACTTTTTCTGCACAAAAACAAACATTTTTAATTACATTTTTTGCTGAATTCTTGAAGTACCTTCCTAGGTTGTTTTTTTTTCTTTTTAACATATTCTGATGCACTCATAAATGGGCTTAGAAATATGTAACTCCATGGTTTTACAAAAGAAACACACAAAGATATCAGTAAGCTTGGTAACAATAAGATAAAACCTCCACTACTGTTATTCTACGAACTTGAAATATTGCTCTATGCCATGGGTCCAATTCAAGTCTGTCCCGTGTGAAGTGGCATCTCAGAAAGAGACATTTGTCCTGGGCCTGGCAGCGTGGCGCAAGTGGTTAAAGTCCTCGCCTTGCCTGTGCCAGGATCCCATATGGGCACCGGTTCTAATCCCGGCAGCTCCACTTCCCATCCAGCTCCCTGCTTGTGGCCTGGGAAAGCAGTTGAGAACGGCCCAAATCATTGGAACCCTGCACCCACGTGGGAGAGCTGGAAGAGGCTCCTGGCTTCAGATCGGCGCAGTTCCAGCTGCTGCAGCCGCTTACGGAGTGAATCATCGGATGGAAGATCTTCCTCTCTTTCTCTCCTCCTCTCTGTATATCTGACTTTCCAATAAATAAATAAATCTTTTTTTAAAAAAAGACATTTATCTTTCTTGTGAAAAGCACAATATTCTGCAAGAGTTGCGCTAAGTCTGCCACATTCACGCCTGCAGTCTGGTGAGCTTCACATTCTCTCACATTTCATTGTTTCACACAATAAATGTTTTAAAACCATGATTGGGCCCGGCGCGGTGGCGCAAGTGGTTAAGTCCTCGCCTTGCACGCCCGGGATCCCATATGGGCGCCGGTTCTAATCCCGGCAGCCCCGCTTCCCTTCCAGCTCCCTGCCTGTGGCCTGGGTAAGCAGACGAGGACGGCCCAAAGCTTTGGGACCCTGCACCCGCGTGGGAGACCCGGAAGAGGCTCCTGGCTTCGGATCGGCATAGTATCGGCCCGTTGCGGCTCACTTGGGGAGTGAATCATCGGACGGAAGATCTTCCTCTCTGTCTCTCCTCTCTGTATATCCGCCTTTCCAATAAAATATAATAAAAATAAATCTTTAAAAAAAAAAAAAAAAACATGATTAACACGGGATTTTCTTTCTATGCATATTTTTTCATACAGCAATTCTGGACACTAGAATATGAAAAAAATCTATAAAACCTTGAAATTGATAAAACTCTCGGCCTGAAAGGTTAAAACAGACTAAGACTCAAGCTTAAAACTTAAAGCTTAAGACTCACAATAAGGTCTTCATTAAGTTCAAAACTAGAGGGACTCTAAGTTAGCAAATGTACTCTGAAAGGAACTCTAGGGCTCAGCGCAATGGCTCACTGGCTAAATCCTCACCTTGCAAGTGCTGGGATCTTATACGGATCAGTTCACGTCCCGCTCCATTTCCTATTCAGCTCCCTGCTAACGGCCTGCGAAGCAGTCGAGGATGGCTCAAGGCCTTGGAACCCTGCACCTGCATGGGAGAGCTGGAAGAGGCTCCTGGCTTCAGACTGGCTCAGCTATGGCCACTGCAGCCATTTGGGGAGTGAGCCAGCAGACGAAAGATCTCTGTTTCTCCTTTTCATAAAGCTGATCTACCTTTCCAATAAAGAAAATAAGTCTAATAAAGCTAATAAAGCTGCTTCTAAAGCTTCTGAGAAAAGCTAGCTATACCACCAAAAAAGTTACATTTGTGACATTCTATACTTTAAAAAGCAGTTCTCAATGTGCAGCAACTTTGCCTTCCTCTTAATATTAGGGACTGTCAGGAAGCATTTTTGGTCATCGCGACTGGCGTGCTACTGGCATTTAAGAGATAGAAGCCAAGAATGCTGAGGAATACCTCACAATGATCAGGGCAGGCCCTCCAAAGAATTATTTGGCCAAAAGTATCAGCAAAGGCAAGGTTGAGGGTCTTTGAGAAACCGGAAGGAGGCTGAGAAAATTGAGAAGCCCTCCAGCAGTCCACATTCCCAAAACTGCCTCCACAGGCATCCAAGGAGAATGGGTAGCCCAGAGGCACAGCAGTGGACCCTCTCCAAGAGACGGCTGAGGGCCTCATCAAGCCTTCATCTCTCACAGCCTGGTACAGGACCCACAGGGACTGCCGATGCAATCGCACAGCACTCACAACTCATCACTGAGCGCGTGATTCAGGTTTCAAATGGGAGCTGTGGGGGTTACACTGATCCATCCTACCGACCATCCGATCTAAGGCGTGTGAGAGCAGCATGGAGTGGCCCATTTGTGGTCACTCCAAAATCGATTTCCTATGTTCCTGGATCAAAATCAGCAATGTCCAGACCTGATGTGTCTCTACTATGCATTACTCGGGACTAAAGGCTTGATGAAACAGGACTCTGCCTCATCTCTCCTCATGAGGTACAGAATGCAGAGTGGAATGTCTGCCTACAGAAGGCAGCAATGTCTGAAAGCCCAATGTTCCCAACTGTTCTCATCTGCTGCTCCCCATTTCTCAACTCCCTCATAATCAGGCAAGTTCTAGAAGCTGGTTCTGCCGATGGACCCCAAGCAGAAGTGTGTGTGGCTTCTAGGCTCAGGAGCAGCAAAGCCAGTGTACTCGCCGCCCACCCCCTCCACCCTAAGCTTTCTCTCCCTGATGTAGCGATCAGCAGCCATCGGAACACTGCAGTGCTATGCATTCAAAGCGGGTTTTTGAGTGACCATACAGAAACTCACCCCCAACCTGACTTGCTCTGAAACCCGGGAAGACAAAAGGTCAGCTTATTTTACTAACTGGACCATCTCAGACCAGCACAGCAGACAGGCCACCAACTGTGCACTCCAAACCAGCCCTAAGACTGGATGCCAACTATCATCTGTCATCTACCGTTCCTTTCTTTCTGGTCTACCTGGCCTGTATTCTCATTAAATTGGAAAGTTTGCATTTGACAGATCTGACATCAGTAAAACTAAATAATTTTCTTTTTTTTTTTTTTTTTAAAGATTTATTTTTTATTATTTTTTCATTGGAAAGGCGGATATACAGAGAGGAGAGACAGAGAGGAAGATCTTCCGTCCGATGATTCACTCCCCAAGTGAGCGCAACGGGCCGATACTACGCCGATCCGAAGCCAGGAGCCTCTTCCGGGTCTCCCACGCGGGTGCAGGTTCCCAAAGCTTTGGGCCGTCCTCTACTGCTTTCCCGGGCCACAGGCAGGGAGCTGGAAGGGAAGCGGGGCTGCCGGGATTAGAACCGGCGCCCATATGGGATCCCGGGCGTGCAAGGCGAGGACCTTTAACCACTTGCGCCACCGCGCCGGGCCCAAAACTAAATAATTTTCAAAGCAAACAAAATCCAGACCTTTATCAGCTCTACCTCAAGCAGATTCTGAGTAATGGATCACAAAGATAAAAGAGCTATAACTCTTCCACTTAAAGAAATTCACATTACGCTGCTTACAGCTCCATTAGGGGGCTGGTGTAGTGGCATAGCTGGCTAATCCTCTGCACTGTGATGCCAGGATCCATATGGGCACCAGTTTGTGTCTTGGCTTCCCCACCTTCCATCCAGCTCTCTGCTTGTGGCCTGGGAAAGCAGTGGAGGATGGCCCAAGTCCTTGGGTCCCTGCACCCACGTGGGAGACCTGGAAGAGGCCTTTGGATCAGCTCAGGTCTGGCTGTTTGGCCATTTGGGGAGTAAATCCATGGATGAAAGAGCTCTTTCTCTCCCTCTATCTATAAATCTGTCTTTCAAGTAAAAATAAGTAATTTTTTTAAAAAAGTACTTATCTGAAATACAGAATGACAGAGCCGGGGGAGGGGGGGACTGAGGGAGGAAAAAGAGAGAACGGATTGTCCAAATGCTTATTTACTCCTCAAATGACTGCACTGGCCAGCGGTGGGAGACTGACCTGGCCAAAGCCTGGAGCCAGATTTCCCATGTGGGTGGCAGGGACCCAAATACTTCAACTATCATCCAATGCTTTACTACACACATGTGCAGGGAGTTAGGTCAGAAGCAGAACAGCTAGAACTCCAACTGGTTCTCTAATATGAGACAGTGATTTTTTTGTTTTAAAGATTTATTTATTTTTTATTGGAAAGTCAGATTTACAGAGAGGAGGAGAGACAGAGAGGAAGATCTTCCATCCAATGATTCACTCCCCAAGTGAGCGCAACAGTGGGAACCCGCCGATCCGAAGCCAGGAGCCAGGAGCTTCCTCCAGGTCTCCCACATGGGGGCAGGGTTCCAACGATTTGGGCCTCCCTCAACTGCTTTCCCAGGCCACAAGCAGGGAGCTGGATGGGAAGCAGGGCTGCTGGGATTAGAACTGGCGACCATATGGGATTCTGGTATGTGCAAGGCGAGGACTTTAACCACTATGCTATGGTGCTGTGCCCGAGACAGTGATGTCTTGATCCACTCTACTAGAGTGGATTCGTTCCATCCTCCCTCCATGAGCTTTCAGAAGTCCTCTCAGGTAAGAAGCACAACTCTGGTAATCACTCGATTTTATGACCGGAAACACAGCAGGATATACTTATAAGCCCTTGCCACAGCAGACTATTCACAACAGCTAAAACGTGAAAGGCACTCAAGTATCCACTGTCAGAGAAACGGGGAAACAAAATATGGTTTAGCATCATTTCTAACATACATACTACGAAATGCATAAACCTGTGCACATTCAGTTAGTATGTCAGCCACAAAAAGGCAAACTGTGTGTGACTCTACTTCTATGAGATGGTTCCCAGAAATTAGGGGGAGAGAGTAGTTGGAGCTTCTGTTTCAGAGGTCTAAGAATTTCAGTTTTACAAGATGAAAAGGGGTCTGGGGATTGATGGTGGTGACAGTTTCAAAACATTAGCGATGTATTTGATAGCACTGAACTGTACATGTAACAATTACGGTATCACTATCTAAAAGGCTGGGGAAAAAGTAGGAATAGATGTGCCATCTTACACAGCCTTTCCCCACCCCCTTTCAGGCTGGGCCCGGGTCTTGAAGACAGTAGCCATATTTTCTGTGTGGGACCCTAGGCTAGACAGAGGGCATTGTTTAAAATACTGTAATGGAAATGAGTAATTCAATGCTACCTAAGAGAAAGCGTTAAACTTACAAAAGAATACCCTACACACGGCCAGGCATACTAACCCTGGGTAAGGAGAACTGCAAAAGCAAAGGGGGAGGAGAGGGGGAAAAATGACTTACAATTTTCTAAATTTGATGAAAGAAACAAATCCACCCATTTAATTTGCTCAAAGAATTCTAAGCGGGATACACACAAAGATCATCTACACTAAGACATAATCGAATCAGTAAAGCACAAGAAATAAAAGAACCTCAAAAGCAGTCAGAGAGAAGTAACTTGTTAGTTACAAGAGATTTCACCAAATTTAACAGATGATTTCTCACCAGACAACACAGAGGCTGACGGGTGATTGAATGACACACTTAGAGTGCTAGGGGAAAACCCTGCTACGCCAAAGGGTGAAATCTCTCCAACGTATCCCTCAAACGTGAAGGACAAACTCGGACAGTCTGAGATAAAGGCAAAGGAGGCCACTTTCGCACAATCGCCCACAAAGGCGACAGCAGGGATTCGGGCAGAGACGAAAGGGCAGCAGACGATGAGGTAAAGGTACTGCTAGATGAACTACCTGGTAATTACAAAGGCCACTATTACCACACTTTATGGTTTTAGCTTCTATTTTTTTCTGATATGAATTAATTCACATGCATGAAATACTAATTATAAATTACAACTGGCACATAGTTTACAAATACATAACCTGTGACAGCAATAATGTAAAATGGGAAAGACAGACTAGACTACCAAGCAGACTTCGGCATATGAAGCTAAGGCAACAATAAGTCAAAACAGATTGCTCTAAGTTTTTGAGGTTAAATGTAATCCCCAAGATTACGCAGCTAAGAAAATTGCCGAGAAAGAAAACGAGAGAAGAAAAATGGTACACTACTACCAAAAAAATCAATGGACACAAAAGAAAGCATAAGGCAACTGAAAAATTAAATACATTTAGGAAACAAACAGTAAATAACCTTTTCCTTCCTAATAATTACTCAAACAGACAGATGGATTAAACTCTCCAAATAAAAAGTGGAAGTGAACTTTTCTTCCAGGGGGTGAAAATAGCACAGAATCAGATATAGGTAGCACAGAGCACTGTAAATGTACCAAGGCTGATCTGTAAACTTTAAAACAGTTCACTCTGCTACATGACTTTCACCTCAATGATTCAAACAAACGATGAGAGCTTTTTCTACTAACCCGGTGAATAATTCCAGCGGAGTGAAGGTGCTTGATTCCACACAGCATCTGATAGAGAAGGTAGGACATTCTTTCGTGATCTAGTTCCATCTGAATCACTTGGCAAAGATTTGCATCCATGAGCTCCATGACTATGTAACTTCATGGGTGGAAAAAGATGACAACTAAGGAGTACAGCAACAATCTAAGAATATGTACTAACATAATAAAGCTGTAATTGCCACACTTACACATCTTGGAATTCTTCTAGAGATTTCTGTGGTGTGAAAACATTCAAAAGGCCAATTATCTGTGTTAAAAGCAAACAGAAGCATCAGAAACTGCCGCCTATTATTCTCATTTCACAACTGCAAATACATGAAATTTTTTTCTTAACAAAAACACCCTTAGTTTAAAATCTTTAAATCTCTTATTTTTTTTTAACCACCTATTTACTCTTATTTATTAGAAAGGCAGAGAGCCCTTCATTCCATCCAGGTCTCCCACAAGAGTGGCAGACACTCAGGTACTTTGGCCATCATCTGTTGCTTTCCAAGATGCAAATTAGCAGGCAACTACATCAGAAGCAGGATGGCAGATTAGCCAGGGTTCAAACCAGGCACTGTGCAACGGGATGCGGTGTCCCAGGTGGCAGTTTAACTTGCTGTACCACAACACCCGCCCCCCCCCTTATATTTTACACACTAAAGCATACACAGCTGGGGAAGGAAGAGATGGAGAGAGAGCACTCTGAAGGTGAGAGTATGAGCGGCGGGCGCTGCGACATGTGGTGAGGCTGCGGCTGCTCACACCAGCAGCCCACACAGAAACTGGCACAAGGCACAGCTGCTCCACTTTGGGCCCAACTCCTTGAGAACGGCCTGGGAAAGCAGCAGAAAACAGCTCAAAGCACTGGTGCCCCTACAGCTGGAAGAAGCTTCTGGCTCCATCCACTGACGCAACACGGGGTGTGTATCGGGGTGGAAGACCTCACTTTCTGTGTCTCTTTTCTCTGTAACTCTTTCAAATGAAAATGGAATCGATCTTTAACAAAACAAAACAACAACAACAAAAAAAAAAACCACAAAAATAAACCATAACACAAGCACAGACTCTGAATGATGATGCGTCAGTGAGGATCAGTTCTAACAAATGCGCCACTCTGGCGGCCTGGGAGATCCTGTGAGTGCTGGGGAGCACGGCATAACGGGGACTCTATCTGCCCATCAATGTTTCTGTGAACCTAAAACCATTCTAAAAAACACTCTTTAAAAAACCTTGTCAACAGATGGAAATAAGTGCCATAAATTAATTCTCCAAAATTAAAAGATAATAATAAAGCCTGGTCATTTAGAAACTGGTTATTTAACTATGCTCAGTTAGCAGTCCCATGACAAGGAATCCCCTGCTTAGGCAACGCGAGTCAAACAGATTTGCAAACAGGATTCAAATGCCCACAACTGAGGAGGCAGCATGCCTCAGCTACGGATAGAGGACTCCATCTGACACAGGACCATGTGCGCCCTGAGAGAAGCCACCAGGCTCAAAAAGGAAACCCTAAACCACTGCTAAAGGTGGTAGGAAAAACAGGTGATGTTTAGGCCAACGAAGAGATGACCCAGGCAGATGTGGAACTGTTCAAAAGGCAATCTACTCTGGAAAAATCCACTCATTAAGTAGGAAAAAAATTCAGGTAACAAACATTCCTATCCTAGTTTCCTCACACACAGTTTCTTTCATTCACTGAACAAATGTTCTCAGCATCCAGCACTCTTCCAAGTGTCAGGAGCACTGCTTACGTGCCTTGTGCCAGCTATGTTACCCACAGGCTCCACTTCATCCATGTAACCATTTTTATTTGTAGTCAACCATGCTGGGGAGGTAGGGACAGCTCTCCCTTAGGAAAAACCAAGCAATGCCACCACAGCAATGGTCATGACCCTGGATCCACGGCTATGGAAGCAGAAGAGACTCTGCACTGGCAAAATGCTGCTAAGCAGTGTATCTGGCTCCTACCTGGAACAAGAATGGACTCCACAAATTCTTCCTACACTGACTAACATTTGCATGTCTCTGGGCCATGTGCGTGCAACTCTTCCTCTCTGGAATTCTCTTTACTGTGAACAATTTACTGCATCTTTAGGTTTATTTTTCCCCAAAGTCTTCCCAGTTTAATAAAGTTCATAGAAATCTCCCGGAGACGTGCAGCCACTATTATGTGACAACTAACTTCTAAACCCTTTATGATTGTTTGCGCTTTATTTCTAACTTCCAAACAACACTTTAAGCTCACCCTCCCCTGGTTCAGTCTCTACAGGTTAATTTTATGGATTTCTTCCGCTTCATGTCAACATCAGTAACCATTACACAGAGGCTAATGTTAGAAAGAACCATATTTTATAATTTACTTGGGACAAACACCATAAATGCCTCCCGCCAGAATCTTTTCGTTTTATGCTTGACACAACTGCCCCTGGCATAATTCACTCTCAGGTTATTTTCCCTACATCTGCAGAAATCATTCCATTAACATAACTACAAAGGTATTCACATACTTAAATGTAAGCGTAAAAAAAAAAGCCTGTCCTGAAAATGAACAAAAATGCTATGTTAAGTCGTTATAATCACTAGAAAATTTATCTAGAAATGTCTTTACAATTCCCTTCAAATATTTAAAAACATCTGTCATGCTGCTTCACCTGCACTGTTCTCCATCTAAAGTGATGGGGGAGCATTGCCATCAAGAAAAAGTGAACTGAATTTCACGTTCAGTATGATTAAACAAAGTCCCAATATCAAACTAAAAGGGGAACAATTCCATCTCCATTCACAAGGCTACAGTATTTCTGAAATGTCAGCCTAGTGAAAAACAAACTAGGGGTTGGTGCTGTGACATATGGGTAAAGCCACCGCCTGTGGCACTGGCATCCCACATGGATGTCAGTTCGAGTACCTGCTGCTCCACTTCCTATCCAGTTCCCTGCTAATGGATCTGAGTGCTAAAGGAATGCCCAAGGCCTCAGACCCCTGTTCCCCCAAGGAAGATCTGGAACAGGCTCCTAGCTCCTAGCTCCTGGCTTCAGGCAGGCCAAGTTCCAACCATCGCACCCATTAGGAGAGTGAACCAGCAGACAGTTCTCTCTTTCTAACTCTGCTTTCCAAATATATAAATAAACCTTTAAAAAACTACAAACTAGATGAATCCAGCTCCAATAAAATAATTTCTAAAACTTACCTCCTTAAAACTCTTCCTTTAAATTAGTGTCAGAAAATTGCACAACCTAAATTTCAGAACTTTCTTTTAATATCATTTAATAAATTTAACAAAAAAAACTACATTGTAGATATATTAAATACCCTTTATGCAATGTTTCAATCCAGAAGAATAATCTGAAGTCTCGCTATTTAAATGGTCTCTGATAGCCATAAATAATATTGCTATCACCTGAACGTAATGTAAAATGTTCACTTACATTTTTGTGATTAACACACTTCATAAGAACCAACTCCCTGTAGGCTCTCTTAGCATGGGTTTGATTCTGAAACGGCCGGCTCAGCTTCTTGATGGCAACATTTCTTTCAAGAATGGCATCATAAGCTGCACTGTAATAGGAAACCCGGAACAAAACACAACAAACTTAAGATCTGTAAACACTGAATAAACACTTCATGCAGATTCCTCATTTTCTCCCAAGACAGACTGCTTTCCTATCTATGTGACACTGTGCTGTTACAGCTCACGGAAACAATGTACAGCAATGATTCCTGAAGACGTTAACAGACCGCGAAGACAAACCCTGCTCGTTTATTCTGTGTCCCTCCAGATCCACCTAACATGCAGTGAGCACCCACAGCACAAATACTGAGTACTCAGATCCACTGCAAAGTACAAATGAATCTTTCATCCTGCATTTACATCGAGGAAAAGCAACATAAACATGGTCATGAACTCTACTGAAAATGCTGACTGAAACTATCTATCTAAACACATGACCTATATTCTTGGGACATAAGACAATGAATATAGAAAGAGGACGGTATATATACAGGTATGGATAAAATATTTTATAATTCATGAAATGTGCAGTCCTTAAAATGTATTTTGGAGTAGCAACTAAAAGTCAAGGTATTTATTATAAAAAAAAGTCAAGGTATAAACATGAATGGCAGATTTCATGATCTCTGAAACTGCTTCATAACTGGGGCATAGAACACCATACTCAGTAGTCTTATCTTCTTCTACCCTGTAACAATGACCAAATGGTGTTCTACATGTAAACAGGTCAGAGAATATGCAGCACAAATAAGGCAAAATGTCTTTAAATTACTGAATTTGATGACTGACAGACGTTCACCATCACTGAGACTGGCCAGTGCTAACACAGGACCACTAGTTGAGTAATTTGCTTAAGTTAGCCAGAAAATTAAAAGCAAAGCCAAGAACTGAAGATTAAGACATGAAATCATGCTTTTCACTGAACCAACAAAGAACTGTCCCTATTTATGTAATCTTTGTAAAACCAGTTGTTACTGATAAATGATATGTTCTCATCTTACACCAAATATAGTGTAGAACAAGCAACTGATACTGCATAAATGGACAGATCTATACATTCCATACCCTGGAAACTACTGCCATATACACAAACGCATAAACAAATCAAAATACATAAATAATCTTTATTTCAAAATGCCACATTAAGACATGTCTTGCTCAAATTAAAAAAAGAGAGCAAATATGGATCATGCAACAATTAGATATTTTATCTTTGCGTATTCAATTCATGCTTATTCTTTATCTGCATAATATAAGAAATATTTTAAACACTGAAGGTTCAAAGGTATACAAGCAGATTCCACCATTTTATGTACAAGGAAACCAGATTTCAAATTCTTAAATCTGCATAATTCATAACTACTTGAGTGCTCAGAGGCCCCAAATAAAGTTTGATTTCTTCAGTTGATAGTATGAGTAACATAACAATCAGTTTCAAAATTTTTGTATAAATAGTTGTCTACCTAACAGTTGTCTAAACTTTTACAGAAATCACTACTTCAGGCAAAATTTGAAGATATTTACTCCTTAGGACAGGGGCTTATTAAAATGAATTAAAGTCCTTCTAATGCAATTTTCAAAAATAGCTACAAAATGTACAACGTGGAGCCAGTATTGTGCCTGAAGCAAAAGCATCTACCATCAGAACACTGGGTCCAGTCCTGAATGCCTTCCTTCCAACCAGCTCCCTCTAACACACCAGGGAAAGCAGAAGCAGATGATGCACCTGCTTGGGCCCCTGCACCCACGTGAGACCTGGATGCAGCTCCTGGCTCCAGCCTGGCCCAGCCCTGGCTGTTGTGACCATTTGGGGAATGACCAGTTGGTAGAAGGTCTCTTTCTGCCCCTCCCACCACCCCTTTGTGCCACTCTCCCTTTCAAATCAATGTTCTAAATAATTTTTTTCAAGGTGCACTAATATGAAGATAAAAGGTGACAGAAATATTCATGTATTTTAAAACTCCACTTTTTCGAAATGTTAAAATTATTATCATTTCATGATACAGTTCCATAGGCCCTGGGATTTCCCTTACACTCTCCCCAAGTTCCCTCTCCCGCCCCTCCACTGACTTCCCCTATATACTATACAATAGGTCTTCATAAACAGTCATGTGTCCATCATTGCACACATGGACAATGGCAGAGAGTTCAGCATCCTATCATCAAGATACAGTTAACAGTTTCATTGGAAGTCCATTTTTGATCTGGAAATAGAGATGCATACTGCTCACATCTGCATATGATAGTCTCCGTTACACAGTTACTATACATCCACTAAATGAAAAGCCACAATACAAAATCAACAACAGGAAGAAAAATAGAAATTTACAATGCCATGAAGTTAAATAACATGACACTGAATATGACAGTCTCCATTACGCAGTTACTATACATCCCCTTAAATGAAAAGCTACAAAACAGAATCAACAACAGGAAGAAAAGAAAAATTAGAACATCACCATGAAGTTAAATAACATGCTACTGAATGACTAATGTGTCACTGAAAAATGAAAATCAAGGACCTTGAAGAAAATGATGCTATTATAAGACCTATGAGTCAGTGAAGAATTTAATGAAAAAGAAAGTGTTTTGAAGAAATGAAATGAAATTTTAAAAAAAACACGCAAATCCATGAGATATAGTTTCTGCTGATTTTTGTTTTGAGATGTGTCTTCTGCAGGCAACAAATATGTGGTTTTTTTTAAATCCAATCTACTAATCTATGATGCTTGATTGATGAGACTAATCCATTTACATTCACAGTTAATATGAAAGGGGGGTAATTTGGTCCTGTCATTTTAACAATGGGATGTTCACTGATTTAGTCTTCTGTTGTTATTTTACTGGGACATTCTTTGCGTTTGCCTTTGGTTTGGGTGGGTGCTATTCCTCTTCTCTGTCCAGAGAACAGCTTTAAGCGTCATTCATAGGGCAGGTTTAGAAGAGGCATATTCTTTTAACTTTTTTTGATTGTGGAAGAATTTTATTTCATTTTTTAAAAAAGATTTATTTATTTATTGGAAAGTCAGATATACAGAGAAGAGGAAAGACAGAGAGGAAGATCTTCTATCCGATGATTCACTCCCCAAGTGAGCACAACAACCAATGCTATGCCGATCCGAAGCCAGGATTCAGGAACTTCTTCCGGGTATCCCACATGGGTACAGAGTCCCAAGGCCTTGGGCCGTCCTGGACTGCTTTCCCAGGCCACAAGCAGGGAGCTGGATGGAAAGCGGAACTGCCGGGATTAGAACCGGCGCCTGTATGGGATCCCGGCACGTTCAAGGTGAGGACTTTAGCCGCTAGGCCATACCACCGGGCCCCTTTATTTCATTTTCAAAGACATAGGAAAGCTTTGCTGGGTATGTTATCCTGGGCCAACTTTTTTTGCTTTTAGAATCTGGAATATGTCACTCCATTCTCTTCTGGCCTCTAGAGTGTCTTGTCAGAGATCTCCTGTGATTTTAATTGACATTCCTTTATTTGTCAATTGATTTTTTTTCACATGCACATCTAGGGATCTTTTCCTTATGTTTGATTGAAGAGAGCTTGACTATCACGTGTCGTGGTGAAGATCGCTTTTGGTCAAGCCTGTTGGGAGTTCTGTGCCCCTCCTAGATCTTGTTTCCCAATTCTCTAGATTGGGGAAAATTTCCCTTATTATTTCATTAACTACACCTTTAATCCCAGCTTTTCTTTCTGCACCTTCTGGGACTGCCACAACGTTTATATTAGACCTCTTAATAGTGTCTTTAAATTCTTGAATAATTTGTTTTAGCTTGACCCAGCTCTGCTCCCAGCTTTTCTTTGTTTCCTCCTGGTGACAGGAAATGTCTTTCAATTCTGAGATTCTTTCTTCTGCTTGCTTCATTCTATTTTGGCAACTCTCCACTGTGCTTTTAATCTACTCCACTGTGTTCTTCATTTCTGATATGTCAGCTTTCATTTGATTCATTTCCTGTGTGACAAGTTCCTTAAATTTATTTAACTCCTGTTCTATGTGTTGATAAGAAGCTTTATAACAAATGTTTTGAATTTCGTATCTCCCGTTATCTTGATGTATTCTTCTGCTGACTTTGAGGTTGGCAAAGGCATTTGCTTCATTTTCAGGTGAGTCTTCAGTAACATTCATTGTGCTTTTGTCTCTCCTTTTGCTCTTGGTCATTGTGCTTCTGGTTACCAGATTCTTCTCTTTAGAACAACAGGTTTCTAAGCTGTGTCACCCACAGGTCTGCAATTCGATTTTACTTACTGGGGTTGGCACACGGCTCTTTGCTTGCATCACTCGTGCCACTCCTTCCAGCGACTTCCAGGTCTGGGTTCTTATGTTAGATTTCCACCAAGGTCTCTTATGTTAGATTACCTGTTCCTATACTACAAGCTGCATTGCCCCAGCTTCTGTGCTATTGTGCTGAGGCTGCACCATTGTCTATACAACCTTTCTCCCACTTCTTGTTAGAGCAGGTCCCAGGATAAGGGAGATACTAGATTGTTGGTGGTGCTGATCTTGCCAGAGCCTGTTTGGCTGTTAGATCTGACGGCCACACGGACCTATTTCAACCTAAATAATGCCAAAGTCGGCGTTATTTTCCTGTGGGACCAGTGCAATGCACTGAGCTCAGTGAGTCTGCATCCAGTTCAGTGCATGTGCAGCTCAATGTTGTCTCTGCAGTCTTAAAGTTTTTCCACATTGTACAAAATGGCACCACAACTAGAGTTCTTGATCTGCGCTTTCAGGTCTGAGGGCTACTTGGGCCTATCTTGGGTGGAATCTATAGAATGCCATGCTGTTGCAGTTCACTGAGTCAGAAATGAGTTCACTCACAGCCCAGTGCATGTGCAGTTCTATCCAACAGCCTTTGCCTCTCTATACAAAATGGTATCCCATTCGGCTCTCGAGGGCAGAGTAGGCTGTGAAATCCACCCTGTTCCTATACTACCTGTCTGGGACCTGCTGCTCTGTCTCTGCTCCTGGTCAAATCAAACACATCAGCAGGATGGGCAATTCTTTGTCTGGGTTTATCTCCTGACTCCCAGTGAACATCCCTTCCCACCTTGTTGCTGGTGTCATTCACCATTCACTGCTGTCACTTAATGAATGCCATTGGGGTATCAGTCACTGCAACACCACACCAGACTGTGTCTGTCAGTCTCCAGGTGCCCCTCTGCTGTCATTCTGTCCTCTCCTATTTCCAGGAATGTGCCCTCTCTGCTTCACACTAGCTAATGTTTCTCTGTCTGTCTAAACGTGTCCTTATCCAATTCTGCCATCTTGATTCTTTGTTGAAATTTCAAAACTCTATTATTTTTAAAATAAGATAACCTTAGAAGTTTGTATGTTAAGTGAGAAAATAGTCTTAGAAGCAAAAATTTGCCACAAGTCACAAGGTTGGTAAATCACGGAGGTAAAATCTAAACCAAGAGACCATCAGAGAGTAAGTCTCCAAAAATCAAACCTGAGGTTGGTTCAACGTATTTAGTTACAACCGTACACAGTCAGCCAACAGCTCATAAAATCTCTGCCACTTTTTAGTTTTTAATACTGTTTCAAGAATACAAAAGAAGTAATACCAGTGTTTGTTATACAAAACTTACAGATCTAAACATTTTACCCTAATATGAATTACCAAACAAATTTTAAAAAGTCAACTTGCATTTTTTTCTGCCAGAGGTAAGCAATACCCCCACTCTTGTTTGGGTGCCTACCTTGACCTTTCCTCATACGTGTATATCCACAAATATGTTGCATTGTTTGGCACATTTTATATTACATACAAATGGTATAACAATGTGCACATATGCGTGTGTTTGTACAAATAAAATCAACAGCTTGTTTTTAAACCTAACTGAACATTTCTGAGATTAGCCTTTGCTGATAAACACAACTAAAGCTCATTTTAAATATTATGTTCTATTTCCACACATATTAGATCCCTACCAAATCAAATTTTTCTTCTGTTGATAGGCCTGATGCTGCTTCCATTTTTGCTATCATAAAGAAACAGTGCTGCAAAGAACAGCGCTATGCATATTTCTTGGTGCAAATGCACAAGAATCTTTGAGGCCTGGCAGATGTGCTAAATCCTAAACACTCATGATTTTTAAAGCAGACCCTAAAACTTTAATATGGGCCCAGTGCAGTAGTCTAGTGGCTAAATCCTCCCCTGGCATGTGCGAGGATCCCATGTGGGCCCTGGTTCATGTCCAGGTCGCGCTACTTCCCATCCAGCTCCCTGCTTGTGCTCTGGGAAAGCAGTAGAGGACATCCCAAATCCTTGGGACCCTCACCTGAGTAGGAGACCCAGAAGACGCTCTTTGATTCAGATCAGCTTGGTCCCACCCTAGCTGTTGCAGACACCTGAGGAGTGAACCAACAGAAGATCTTTTTCTATCTCCTTCTCTCTATAAATCTTCCTTCCCAATAAAAATAAATAAGTATATTTTTAAAAAGATATTATTATGCTTCAGTGTGGCTTTAATTATCCCAAAGACTAACCTATTTTCTAACCTAATGTCTTAGAACCATTAGAAGTCTCCCCAGGAGTGGTCTACATTTCACCTTCAAAAGAATTATACAAAGCCTGGGCCTCTTGTACAAATTAGCTTATAAAATAAATTTAAGGTACACTTAAGTTTTGAAACATATTTGGAGAGAGGATATTAGCTCTGTTATTACCTAGGGTATATTAAGATTTCTGAAATTTCCGCTTCATTATAGCATGAAAGTGATGATGAAGTGAGACTTCTTGCACAGTTATGGGAATAGATGTATTATGGAATTAACAAGCATGCCACTTATCCTTTCTTGATACATTTATCTGTCTCTATATGTCCTATGACCAAGAATTTAATCACAGTTTACACTTAGGGATGGTTAGTCCTGGCTTATATTTATGGCTTATAAAAAATAAAAATAAGTTGCCATGTTTATAGCTTTCACTCAATTTTTATCATTTTAACTTAATGCTCTGAGGCAAGTTTATTTACCAAGGTTTGAATTACCAAGGCATCAAAAGAGGACTAAGGCCTAATTTTACAAGTGAAAACTTACCAAACTATTCCTTGAGCTCCCGAACCTATTGGTTTTAGATTCTGATACCTCTTCAGGACAGTGAATGTAGAATCCCCAATCTCTACACTATAAAAATTGTTGTCACGCTTGCTTCTGCTCATGATGGCAAGCAATTAATGTAATGGCTTCATCCAAATGTCCACCAAGAAGCTGCAAAACAGAAGAAGACATGGTTAACAATATGAGCTTGTCTGATCATCGAAGTCCTTATCCTCTGTTTGGGTAGTTAACACAGGCTGCTAAGATCATGTTAAAAGATCACTAAAAACAGTGAAAAAGAAAAAAAAAACTTAACATTGGTTAGCAAGTCATACTTAAATAATCATTTTTAAAAACTTATTAGCATAAACAGCTTCCCCAAACCAGAAGTCAATGGCTTTATTAAAACACTCTTAATTCACTTAAAAACTGAAAGCAGATTATTGCAAATAATGTTTTAAAAGATATCCACAGTTTAAAATTAAAATCTATCCTTTTGAGTGAACATGAAAGTGCTAGAGTACTGAAACCTTAACAGCTGCGACAGACTGAGCAAACTTGATTCCTTAGTAATTAACAGTCACAGTGTCTAGTGCAAGAGCAGGTCCCTAAGCTGGTTAGCAAGCCTCCTTCCTGCCTGACAAGCGGCAGAGGCCGAAGTACTGTCTCTGTGGACAGCCTGACCTCTGAAACAGCAACTTCCGGATGTGAAGCACACGCAGAGGCTGCAAGGGCTGCAAGGGCTGCAAGGGCTGCAAGGGCTGCAAGGGCGAGAAGCAGGGGAGGCAAAAACAAGCCTCAAAAGGGAGAAGGAACACTCAGCATACCAGAACTTCAAAAAATATGGAAAGCTCAATGAAATTAAATAAACATCTTGGTGCAAAAAAAAAAACTGGACTCATAGATACTTTTAATACATACTTTCAACAAACTTTTTGAACCCTATGGTTAATTTTCTTATCTTGCTGGAAACCAAAGGGGGTTTAAAAAGGTGTGTATTTCCCTTTCAGCTCCAAGAACCACGGCAAAGAAGGGCCTCTCTTTACTCACAACAGAGGGGCCCAGCAACAGCAGTCTGAACAGAATCATGGTGGGCAGCCCATGAAGAGCAGAGGACCCACAGTTAGGTGGGCAGCTGTGACCAACACAAGACAGGAGTCACAGAGGCTGGCCGGCTCACTCTCAGTTGCTGAGCATCCACTAGAATCCCTGCGCCAGGTGTTACGCTGGGGTCTGTGCACCGCGCAGCAGCGAGCAGCTGGTTCCCCCCAGGGCCTGTAGTTCAGACAGACAGACCTGCAGCACACTGGGACCTGGCCGCCTGTAACTAAGCTGCGACAAGGGGGACGAAGGAAGACAGCCACATGCCAGATCTGGAACCCTTATGCTGCTCTCAACTCGGGCCCAGTTCCAGCCGGGAAAAGAGATAAAGCAATTCATATGTGTAAAATTTACTACATGTTAGTTTAAATCATCACCCACGCAAAAACTAACTTTAGACAAATAAATAAAATTTGGCCATACAAAATAACTCAGACTCTTAAAGCAAGATTCAAGTGCCTGACATGTTCTAAAAACAACTTTTTGTAGTTTTTCACTAGTAAGTTTCTCAAACTGTTAGGAGAATGTTAACCACATTCAATCACCACCAGACACCCCCTAAAGCCACAAACTAGAAATAGTTAATGAGAAATATCCCAGATGTAAACTACAAAGAATCATTCGTGCTCATTCCATATATATTTACTGCAATTTTATCTTGCCAGCAATATAATTATGATTAGAACATTCAAAAACTGATAGGTAGATGCTAGAAGAAAACTGTTTTACAACAAACAGCTTTCAATAATTAACTGCATCTGTTCCCAGGCAGAGAAAAAAAATTTTAATTAGAGTAAATTACGTTGTTTCAGAATCTGAAAGCTTGGCAAGACGGAGAAAAGCAGCATTTCCATTTGACTATGATAACCAAATACAACAAAGCTAAGTTAAAGACTTGCAAAATTAATGGAAAGCTTAATTATCCAGCTATGACTTTATACCAACCACACAAAAAGCTTCAATTTATGCTCTAGATCTTTTCAAGCTGTCCCCTCAGGATAAAGCCTGACCCATCAAAAATCTTTCCTTACCACCAATGGAGCAGCAAAAAACAAAGACCAGAAACTAAAATAAATAAAAGGGGGCCGGCACTGGCATCCCATATGGGCGTCAGTTTCAGTTCCGGCTACCCCACTTGACTACAGCCCTCCCTTATGGCCCGGGAAGGGGGCCGAAGACAGCCCCAGTCCTTGGGGCTCCTGCACCCATGTAGAAAATCTGGAGGAAGCTTCTGGCTCTAGACCGGCTCGACCCCGGCCACTGTGGTCATTTGAGGAGTGAACCAGCAAACAGAAGACCGACCTACCTCTCTCTCATCCCCACAACTGTAAAATCTTTCAGATAAATAAATTAAAAACAAAACAAATCAAAACAAAACAAAACAAAACATTGGAGAGAGGTTCAAAGAATGACCCAACAGGCAGCTGGATTGGGGACTTCTGAGTGGCTCTCTAGAGGGTCAGTGCGAGATGAAGGCGACAGTAAGGGTTGGAATAGTGGGTTTTTGGCAGCACGTCTTTAAAAATAATGTTTATGCTTATAAAACAAATTAGTAGCCTTGTTCTGGCTATGTTTGATACAATGTAATAGTCAATTTTTAAAAATTTTTTCATTTATTTTTTATTGTAAAGTCAGATATACAGAGAGGGAGAGAGACAGAGAGGAAGATCTTCCGTCCAATGATTCATTCCCCAAGTGGTTACAGCAGTTGGGACTGAGCCTATCTGAAGCCAGGAGCCGGGAGCCTCTTTTGGGTCTCCCACACGGGTGCAGGGTCCCAAGGCTTTAGGCCTTCCTTGACTGCTTTCCCAGGCCACAAGCAGGGAGCTGGATGGGAAGCGGGGCTGCTGGGATTAGAACCGGCGCCCGTATGGGATCCCGGGTGTGCAAGGCGAGGACCTTAACCACTGCTACCAGGCAAGGCCCTGGACAATCATAGCACTTATTACTTGGGCCCTGAATGTTACTAAGACCATTTGTTTTCATGCTGAGTGTTTCTAGGGTGCTGTGTTTCTGTAGGCCTCTGCCTTTGTCACTTGCTCCATGCATTCTCTTGGCATGTTCACTCATGGATCTTTTTAAACCCTTAGGGCACGTCACTGTGTTGTAGTTTGAAGTTACTGAACGCCCCTTCAGGTACAGTTGAGGAAGCAGGAAAAGCCAGCTGTCTCACCAAGTTCACTCCTGCACCACACAGTACTTCCATGAGCTCTGCTCGCCACGACGTGCGGAGCCCACGGCCAGCTCAGTCTGCAGCAGTGTTCAGCAGACACAGCCCGCTGCCCAACACATTCATTCCTTCTCCACTGCCGGGAGAAAGCAGCAGTCCTTGCTCTGCGGGCTCTGTCCCCTCAGCTGGTCCGCTCCACAGAGGCCAGGCGCAGCTCAGGTTCTGTGCGCCTGTGCTTTGCACTGACTAGCTGTCAGTAGGATGTCCCACTTTACCACCCCGTGTTTACTCAGGGTAGCTCACACAACTCAGGCAAACATTCACCCAATAATCATAAAGGACATTATAAACAATCAGATGAACATGCCAGATGGAAGCGATATGAGGGTCAAGATGCGGGGAAAGTTTCCACGCTCCCCCTTTCCAGTTCCGCCCTGCAGGAGTCTGCATGTGGCCAGCTACCTGGCAGTTCCTGAAGCCAGTCCTTTCGTGTCTGTATGGGAGCTCCAGCACACACGCCATGCAGCAACTGCATCACGCAGGCACGACAGAACAGGTCACTGTCCGTCAGGCTGTCAGGTGAGTCTTTAGGTGTCCCCTACTCCCTGGACTAAAGGTTCCAGCCCTTTCACCACTAGTCAGATGGTCCCCCCACCAACCATTCGAAGGCTACCCAGCAGCTGTGCCATCGGTCAGCTTATCAGCATGCAGAAAGACACTTAACTGCTCTGCAAACACCAAGCCTTTTAGGAGTTACACACTAGGAACCGCAAACAAGAATAAATACAAATTTCACAGGGTCACAGTACCAATGAATACACTTAGGCTTATTAGTGTACCCAAATGTCCAACACTCACGCACACACTGCCATCTGGATACTGAACAGCCACGCTATCTTTAAACTTGCGTATGCAGTTAGTGAACCACCCTTTCTCTTTCTGAGGAGAAAGAGAAAGAACTAAAGGCAGGTATTTAAATCTGCCATACAGAAATTTTATTTAATATTTACCTATGCATATAAATAATAAAGTGCTTGCAGGCAGAGGATTAGCATGCTATACCACTGTGCCAGCCCCACTCTCTTTCGTCTTTTCACAACTGTTCAACCCTGCCAACAGCCCTCCTCTGCTGCCCTCCTTCCACTCCTCAGACGTACCTGACATGACCTCATCACTTTACATCGCTTGGGAAAATCAGGGAGTCAATGCAAAGCTACCAATTCTGCTTCTAGCCCTAGCCTCTCTCCTATATTTTCACGTCTCTTGAAGATCTTAATATGAATGCTCCACAGATACATAAACTCAAAGCAGTGAAAGTCCAAGTTTCCTTTCCTACAAACTTGCTCTTCTCACTAGCTAGCCCTGCTGCCTTTCACGGCAGCGTCATTCTGCCGCACACCTTGAGAAGTGACTTGGTCAGCATTCTCCGGCTTCACACAGGTTTTATTTAGACTGTCTCTCACACCGAGTTGGTCTCACTCACTCTTTGCACTCAAGGACCCCAGGCCTTCGCTAGCACTTTCTTCTCTCCCTGCACCCTTTCTTGCGTTACTTCTTCATCTTACATTCCACAGTTCATTACCATGCCAACATCCTTGCCCCACGCGATCCTGACATGCCAACCTGAAACAGAACGGCATGGGCTAAACTACTGTTGTCTTCCTTCTGAGGCTGTGAGCAGCTTACCACACAGAAGAACAGAACGGTGCACACGGGTGCTGCTTTTTTAAGTTCTACGCCTGCAACCTAAGCCAGTGAAAAAGTCCTACCATTTCCTCATCTCCTATTTTCTCTAATTTCTAAAATACCTATTTCAAATTGTTCCCCCCTGCTTTTCAATCTTCAACCCCACCTTATTTGCAGTTTAGAGGTGGGGAACCACTTTTGCCCAAGGACCATCTGCATGTGTCTATCATCATTTATGGGCCATGTAACATTAACTTTAAAATGAACCTGCTACAGATTTATTGAATTTCAACTCCTGCACGGGGTTGCCTTGGCAGGGCCAGACCAAATCGTTTTT